GACCTCAACTACCTTTTCTGGTCCAAGTTTTAAAACACATTCCTTAAGTTCAATCAAGATATTGCTCCCAGTCCTTGCACACACCCTGGGTGTCAAACAATGATTTTAACCATAATCTTACAATCCGCACCTTGAGCGTGAGCAAATAAGATTTTCGATCTCTCATTTATCTATCTCTGATTTATTAAACTAACTAACTGTAAATGGCCAAATTGCAAGTTGGTTTCTTAAGTGAAGAACGGAGATAACACAAAGAGTTATACCAAAACAATGTCCTGGGCAATAACAAAGCCATAAAACATGAGTAATAAAATTCGGTGCAATTAATTAATCTGATTGATACAGCGGCTCAGATCAGGAATCAACTTGTTAATTTGGTTCTCGAATATCTCTTTTTTTCAAGACATTCTCAGGCTCAGACCTTTTTGTTCACGTACGCCAAGTCTGCAGTGAGACATTCAACAGTTTGCTTTTATCCTCCTTTTGTCCTTGACAACCTTTATGTACTGGTGTTACCAATATCCTTGAGAATCCATAGAATCAGTTCTATGTCAGCAAAACATTCCATGTTGTCTTTGCGATTTTCGTTGGTTAATTGGGAGACAAACCAGAATTCTGGGATTACGAAATGTCCAGTCCCCACCTCGAGTGGGTCAAGGTGACAGCACAGGTCCACTAACACCGTCAGAATCTTCAAAATTCCCTTTTATCTCAGCCGCCACATCAATCTTTTCAACCAATTTTAGCATCTCCTTATAGCCTCGTTGGTCATCATTAGGAGTAATCCTTCCTTGCCCGCAATCCCAGACGACTTTTTCTCGAAAGCCCTTGTAGCTTCCATGGTCACCTTTTCTCAATAGGAGCATCCCATCTCTCACCCCTGGGTCTTGCATTACAGTCCCTTCTTCCCAATCGACCAGTTTGCCATCCTAGCTTTTCAAAACCCACCTACATCACTTACTCAGTTAAACCAAGATCAATTACACGGACTCCTCCTGACTGGCTGGCCAATTTGTAAGGTTCGCCATAAAGAGACTTGACAGGTGGTGTGGATTACGAATCTTTTAATATCATACACAATTCAAAGATTAATGCTTCAACACATACAATTGTTATACCGTTAAGTTACAAAACTTCAATGAAACCGATATTACCCGATCCCAGTGGGGAAGTCGCTCAACACCAGCTGCCTCACTATGATGATCGTTCCTCCTACGATGATTCAAACTATTCCAAAGTTACATCTTTTATGCTTTCTAACTCCATCTCCCCTTGTTACAGAGATAGACCCGACCCTTCACAGGCTCCTCGCGATCTTTGAACAGGCTATTTTCGCATGGGACAATAATTGATAAGGAGAAAGAGATATGGACAGCTAGTTGGGAGGATTCCTGTTTCTTAGTCTTGAGCTAATCAGATGTCCAGGAGTGCCTTTCTCTTCTCTGTTTTCACATCTGTGCTCAATTCCTAGATGCGAGGATGACAGAGGACACAAGTAAGATCCTCAACCTCCCTGGGCTCTCCCTCAAACACACCGAAACAGTGCGCAACCTAGGCATCCAGTTCAATCCCTAGCTGTCCTTCCTCCCCCACATTCAGTCCCTGACCACGACCGCCTTCTTCCACCTCTGCAACATTGCCCAACCGTACCTTATCCCAAATGCAGCCGAAACCCTCATGCATGAGTTTGTCACCTCCCACTTGGGTTATTCCAACGCACGCCATGACGGTCTCCCCAGCTCCACTATTCACAATATCCAACTCATTCAAAACTCTGGAGTTGGGAAGGCCGTTTGCACAGGAGAGCCTGGAGGTGATGAAGGCATGAACAAGAGTTTCAGCGACCTGAGGGGTGAGGCAGTGGCAGAGTCGGGCAATGTTACGGAGTGAGGGAAGGCAGTGCGGGTCATGGCTTGAATGTGGGGGAGAAAAGATAGTTGAGGGTCGAACAAGACACCTATGCAATGAAATCAGATTTCGTGGAATTTCTGTAGAAGTGTCCAATTAAATTTCTATAGTACAATTAATGCACAAACACGCACAAGAATAACGTTTCGTCCAATTTCTGTAAAAGTGTCAAACGAACTAAAATTTAAACTGAAGTAAAATGATAATTAACCCAATTTTTGCACAACTAATCACCAAAATAGAAACTCATGGAATTTCTTTAAAAATGTCGAATGAAATAATATTTCAAATGCTTCAACATACAAATCTGGATCTAAATGATATTTGATACGAGCCACTTGGCCCTGATAAGCCACTTGGCTCTGATAAGCCACTTGGCCCTGATAAGCCACTTGGCCCTGATAAGCCACTTGGCCCTGATAAGCCACTTGGCCCATAAGCCACTTGGCCCCACCAGCCACTTGGCCCTATGAATGACCAGGGGATTATTGACCAAAACACGGGATAAACTCCCTTTTCTTGTTGAATAGCACCGTGGGGAATGTTTTAACGTCCACCTGAATAGGCACAGATGGGAGCTCGGTTTTAACGTCTCATCTGAAGGTGAGGGCTTTATGATATTGGCATCAGAATTGGCAGGTAAATGCTTGCTGCTACCTCACACGAGGGCAGGTTCTGTCTATACAGGATTAGGGTCAGATGTATATTTGCCTTTCCTGGATCTACTTGCACAGTCAACAACAACAACTTGGATTTATAGTTGTTTTATAAAAACTGGGTTTTTACTCCTAAAATTCACTACAATATTGAATCCTCGGGTTGAAAGCTCCAATGCCATTGCCCCGATGAACTGCTTAACTCAGTGACACCCTCACTATTGTGCTTTAGCTTCTATGATTTTATAAGAGAGGGGGAGTGGGACTGGTTTGGTAACTCTTTCAAAAAGCCGGCACAGGCACGATGGGCCGAATGGCCTCCTTCTTTGCTGGAATAATCTATGATTCTTATGATTCTACATACTGTGCACTCTGTACATGCCACAGGTACATTTGATTTATTGTATTCCAACCCCCCCAGTCCGAATTATCCAACAACAACTTGCATTTATATAACACCCTTCAAGCGGGCTAGTGTCCCGGAGTGCTTTATCCCATTTTCCAATTGCATAAATAGCCCAGTTCCACTGACTCAACTCAATTGAGGACACCAGTCTCCTCACAACATCAAACCCCTCAAACCAAGCTCCCCGGTAATCAAGCAGAGTTAAAGCAATGCTTGATCTTAGGCAAAAGGCACTCCGTGTCTTGTAAAAATATAATGATTTTTCAAAATGAACGGAGAAAGAAATAGGACGTAAAACAAAAACAGAAGTCGCTGGGAACACTCAGCAGGTCAGGCAGCATCTACGGAAAAAAGAAAGTTTTCCGATGAAGGGTCATGGACACGAAACATTGACTCACTTTCCTTTCTCCATAGATGCTGCCTGACCTGTTGAAGTCTTTCCATCCACTTCTGTTTTTGTTTCAGATTTCCAGCACCTGCGGTGTTTTGCGCTAAGAAATAGGAAGTGTCTCTTATCCATCATTTGTCCCCTTTCCTTTCCCTCCACTTTCGCTTGTTACAAACTTTATAACTTCTTCGAGCCACAGGAAATGGACGTAAATATTCCTCCACTTGAACCCATGTGCTACTTTAATCCCCCAAAACCCATGAAACAACAGGAAAAAGTCTGCCAATAGTTACTTGGAAACGCTGTGTGGGTTCAAGGCTCTGAGGTGCTATCTCTCTTCTCACTGTTGATCCTTTTTTCACATTAGTATCAAAGTCTACTTGCCTTAGATAATGAGCTGTGATGCGGGAATTACCATTGGCCACCTGTTATAAAGAGTTCTCTTTGACCGTGCCTTCAGCTCCCCTCTCGACTCTCTTCCTCCTCCTCGCCCCCTCCCTTCCCTCCCCTCACCCTGACCATTTCCCCCCTCCTCTCTCCCTCCCTTCCCTCCCCTCACCCTGACCATTTCCCCCCTGCTCGGGTCATGACCCAACTGTGCAGCGCCTTGGGACGTCCTCCTGACGTGAAAGGCGCTCTATAAATGGAATCTTGTTGTTGTTGTTGTTGTTGTTATAAATGATACTAACCCTAACCGGAATCTCATGGCGCTGTTTGTAAAGGGAGTTTAGTTTCTCTCTCGCTGTGTCCTGGCCAAAAATCCCCCCAAATAAAAAATGATTGATCAGTCAGTCCGCAACTGTTTGTGGAACATTGCCGTGTGCCACTGGCTGCCGCGTTTCGTCCACAGAAACACCCAGTCACTCCACTTTACAGTACATCCTGTGAAGCGCTTTGAGGCGTCTCAGCGATGTGATAAGGCGCTACATCAAATGCAAGGATTATTATAATTAACGCTAACGGCAGGAACGTATACCACATGCATTGTCTATTCCCAGTTTTATTGGCGATCGACAGGTCCGAATACAACAGAGCATTACAATGATACACAATAAATATCCTCATCGACACACGGAATGTCTTGGCCTGAAGAATCCCGGTGCTTTCTTAAATAGTCCCGTATTATTCCGTGGGCGGTAACCGACACTTCAAGATTACAAACGGAGAGTTAATTTGATGGCCGTATCAAACATCGTACGCAATTTCAATTTCGCGATGCTTTTTTGAGTGTGTTTTCAAGTTAACTGAGTTTTAGAGGACTATTCGTTTGTGCGTATGTCGAGTTTCTTGGTGGTGGGGTGGGGTGGGGGTTATTTTTCATGCTAAAATGGAACCAGTTTCCATCTCAATCAAAGTGTCCTTTGCCTGCCTCAATCGGACAGACTACTTGGTCTGCCTGGACCTTGTCAGAGTCTACATGCCACGCGGCAAATTCGAAACACGACAACTACAACAAATCGCATTCGTATTAGCGCTTTTCAAGTCAGGAACACGTCCCAAGGACCTGGACAGTCAGGGATGGGGAGGTTGCTGTCATCTTTCCAAAAACCAAGTACCGGTCACATCGCCTCGAGAGTGCATCAATCTACCAGTTAACTACCAGTTTCTGTCAAATTATAAAGGAGCCCAAGTGCTCGTAGTATTACGATAGAACGCACCCCCCCTTCTCTTTGAATGGGTTCTGGTCCTCTGGTATTCCCTTCAGCAGCATGTCCTCTGCTGCCATGCTTTCCATCCAGTCTTTCAGTTCCGTGGCGCTTTTAGACACCTGCAAAAGGCAGTGGGGGGAAAACAGCAGGGGGTAATTACATCGGTCAGTCCACAGGGCAGCGTCTGCTTGCGACAGCTTGAAGAACACGGGATGTTTTGCCGGGCGAAAGGACAAGCGAGCAGTTGCACACATTGGCGCTGGACAATCAGTATCGGGCAGGGCAGGGCCCAGAATAGGGGGTGGAAGGAGGGTGACCGAAGGCATGGTCGAAGAGGAGGGGCTTGAGACGGGTCTTGATGGAGGCAAGGAAGAGGGCGAGGTGGAGGGGCTTTGGGAGTTAGTTCCAGAGGGTGGGGGCAGAGTGGTAGAAGGCCTGCCCGCCCGCCAATGGACATGAGCAGGCCAGAGCCCGCTGTGTGGAGGGAGCAGGCAGGTTGGTAGGGGGTTAGAAGATCGCAGAGGTAAGGGGGAGCAAGGCCATGGAGGGCTTTGAAGGACCAGGATCTTGAACTGTGTGATGGGAAGCCAGTGCAGTCGGGCGAGGATGGGGGTGATAGGGTCACGGAGCCTGTTGCGCGAGAGGACACGGGCTGCAGAGTTCTGGATGATCTGCAGCCTGTGGAGGAAGGCGTTGGGGTGCGACCGACAAGCAGGGAGTTTGCGTAGTCGAGCCCGAAGGTTATGAAGGCGTGTACGAGGGTTTCTGCGGCCTGCGGTGTGAGACAGTGGCAGAGCCGGGCGACGTTGCGGAGATGGGGGCAGGCAGAGCGGGACACGGCACGGATTTGGGGTAGGAAGGACAGTTGAGGGTCAAACAAAATGCCAAGGTTCCAGACTAGCTTAGTATTACCATTCCTCGTTCTGCTTTCAGTTCTTTCCGGAGCTGCTCCACTTGCATTTTTAACATGTCTATTTCCGATATGTCTGTCATCTCACCCTTAAGCAACAGGGAGACATAAGTTGTCTACCTTTCAGCACTGTTTTGGAAGCATTTACCATGTCACGGCACAGAAGCAAACAATTCTGCCCAACTAGTTAGTGTTGGTGTTTGTACTCCACACAAACTTAAATCCCTCCCGTTTCCCCCCCACTCATTGGAAAAACTCCAACCCGTCCACTGTATTCCACTCATCGCGGGTAACATTTCGAAGGAAGCATTTTTTGCACAAAATTAACAGCGAAGCCAACTTTCATTCCCACTTAAAACAACGGTTCTTAGTAAACGTGCAAACTGTAGCAGGAATGAACTGTTGGTATGAGTTACCAGCTTGGCGTTAACCTGCTCACACCTAAGGACATGCGTAAACCCAGTTACAGTCAAATGGAAACAATGAGTTCACCTGGAGATATTGAGAGAGTTCCTGCTTTAGTGGAGACTCCGGACTCGATGCTTTCGCAGACTGCCTACAACGCTGCTGTTCTCCACCTCTGGTCCAGACCCAGTCGACCAGAGCAAATGGCGCAAACCTTTAATCTGATAATAGAATAATTAGCTTGTCTGATTCGGGCAACTCAAAGAATATTAAGCTGAAAGAGCCGTTTGCTTGCCTTCCTTGGTGGGCGTTGGTAAAATAATTACAGTAAGGATGATTATTAATAGCGATAATTAATCTAACTAACCTGCTTTTAATAACTTGATTGATGCCTGCCTGCACCTCTCAATATTCTCCTGGTTAATTACATATTTTGGCTCAAAGTAAACATTTGCTCCTAATGTGCACTGACATAATTCATCAGAGAAAAGCTGCTTGCAATCTACGTCATACTACAAGCCTTCTTACCCTTATTGAACTACTTTACTGAGGATTTATTTGTAGTTTCCTTCAGATTAATGTGAGGATTAATTACAGTTGTTAGTCCGCAGAATCTGCTTCACTTTGGACTTTCAGTAACAAACCAAGTTTGCTTATTGGGTTTGGAATTCTTCCGAGCTTTTATACCCTTCCAAACAAAATTCACAAAATAATAATGATAATAATAATCCTTTCATTTAATACAGCACCTTTTAGGTCAGGAGGAGATCTCAAAGTGCTTCACGGGATCTTATTGTGTTTTGTGGGCTTTACATGGTAGACAATTTGAGCCCTGCAACATTCTACAAATAGTTATGAAGTTAGAGACTTATTTTTATTAGGCAAGTTGTCAACGGGACCCCGGGAGAAAATCCCTTCTCTTTTTCGAATAGTGCCGAGGAGTCTTTAACATCCACCTGAACAGACAGATGGGACCTCGGGTTTAATGTCTCATCCGAAGGACAGCACCACCAACAATGCAGCAGTCACCCCCAGCACTGCATTAAACCATGTTTAGACTTTATAAGTCCCAAGTCCCGACGTGAGGCTTGAACCCTCAACCTTCTGCCTCCAACAGAGGGAAGAATATGTCCGATTGAGCCAGTCTGACACCCAGCAAGTGAGAATAGCAATTAAGTACTCCCGAGTTGCTGTCTGGCGTGAAGTGCACTATATAAATGCAAGTTGTTGTTATTGTTGTGTGAAGCGAAGGCGATCAATTGCCTGGTCGTTGGTTTTGATGAATATGCAGCAAACAGCAATGAATGACAGGAGAATCTGAGATTTACTGCTCATTATTTGAAGCCTAAAAACAACTGTGGTGAGACCGTAAAAGAATAAAGCAATTTGACTTGTTAAATGTTGTGTTGAAGAACATTAAGGAAGAACTCGCTGATTCCGCAGCTAAAAAAAGGCTCAGCCGAAAGATGATCGTTTAACTTCAGATTAGACGTGGAGTTAGAGAGGATAATGCAGCTAATAAGTCAGACGTAGGAGATGATGTTTGTGAGAACTGAACGGTGTAAGTTTCTCTGCCTTTACTGCTTTCACTCCTGTAAATACCCCCAACGCACACTCCAAAATTCCCCAATCCTTGCCTCTTGCCAACCTGCACCTAATACTATCCAGAACTAACTGAGGCGCACCCCTCCAGGGGGAAGAGACAGAACACGTTCCATTCCGAAGGCGTGCGTTTGTGAGACTCTCAGTCTGGTTCGGAGACCCTTAAGAATGGTGACGGGTTTCCACGTGTGCCAAACACCCGGCTGACCAAACTAACGAGATTCAGTTCTGCGGAGAGTATGAGAAGCTGAGTAATCAGTACCGCCGTTGACCCCCCCCCCCCCACACACACACGCAATACACTGAGGGGATTGCGGAGGAGCACGACTCAGGAAGGCTCTGATAGGACTGAGCCACCCTATCAAGCTAAGCAGAGGTGTTATCAGCACTAGGGCCAGTGATAGTCACGGTAATGTATTTTTGATCAGCCGGGTGTCTGACGCAGGCGGAAAACCGTCAACAACAACTACAAGTTGCATTTGTGTAGCCTCTTTCGCATCAGGAGGACATCCCGAGGCGCTGGACGGTCAGGGATCCACAGCCAAGCTGGCGGTTGGGATCAGATAGGGGTGGAGGGCAGGGGAGGGGAGGGGTAGGAGGGTGAACAAGGGCACGGTCGAAGACGAGGGTCTCGAGCTTGGTCTAGAAGGAGGCAAGGGAGGGGGCGAGGCAGAGGGACTGTGGAACGGATGCTTAAGTTACGTAAGAGTATCCAAACCAAATTGAGAATTCCCTGCGTCCCACATACACATGGAAATTCCAGAGACAGATTGTTGGAATGGAGTGAGAGAGTGGGGGGGCATCACATTGAGACTATCAGCTCCTGAGGCTTTGTCAGAGGCTTCACCCTTCGAATAAGATGGTAACCCTCTGCGCCTGGTGAAGTGGACATTAGAGATCCCATGGCACTATTTGAAATGACAAGGCAGTTTCTCCCAGCGAGGAAGCCAACAATTCCACAATTGAGGTTGGTTGCTCAATGCACAGCTGTTTGTGGGGACATTGCTGTGCACCAATTGGCTGCCCCGTTCGCCTACAAAAACACACAGTCACTACACTTCACAGCAAAATCCCGTGAAAACCCTTTGAGACAACTCAATGGCACGAAAAGCGTAGGGTTGAAGCTTTCCAAACAGCTTTCCGTCAATTAACAAAAGAAAAATCGACGCAAATCTCGACTATAAATTGAAACGTTAAGAAATATTAACTCAAGTGAAGTTACTGCCGTGAAGCAAACTTGCTCTTATTTTCATTTTATTCTCACATCGCTGTGAACGTAGACGGAGCACCCGGACACCAGACCCATCCAAAATTTAGAAGAAAAGAAACACATTAATTATTTTGACTGTTTCACCAAAAGAAACAACAAATAGCAAACGTCCATCACCAGATTAGATCCAAACCCCATCATGCTATCCTCCCTATCCCCCAGAGCTTCGAGGCTCGTACATATTCAGAGCTTGTTGAATCCAAAAGGCACCTGAGCATCTCCGCCGTTAATGAAACACAGAACATTTCAGCCGGTTTTTGAAATAAAACAAATGATGTTTGAGATTGACTTGATTGTCGCCTCTAAACCTTCGATATTTACTCTGAATATTTTTCTGATTCTGATCAATGTTTTCAACCTTTTTTGACTGATGACTGATCACGACATCGGAACACGATCCCACCAGAATGCGACCGAGACCGTCAATGAAAGCTTCTGCGAAATAATTAAAAGATGCAAATCGTTAATGAAATCACAGTCTATGATCGGTTCCCAAACTCCCGACAGTGCTTAATAATGATAATAATAATAATCTTTGCATTTTGTATAGCGCTTCATCATGTCATCAAGACATTTCAAAGCGCTTCACAGGATATACTGTAAAGTGGATTTTGTGGCAAACACAGCAGCTAGTTTGAGCACAGCAACGTCCCACAAACAGCAATAGAGTGAATGACCGATTTTATGTTATTTTATTGATTTATTTGACGTGAAAGGTGCTATACAAATGTAATTTTGTTGTTGTTCTTGTTGGCCAGGACACCGGGAAGAACTCCATATTCTTTTCGAATCGTGTCATGGGATTTTTAACATCCACACGAACAGGCAGAAGGTTTAACGCCTCATCCGAAGGACAGCACCTCCAACTAAGCGCTTCACAGAACTTACCGTGATAAATAAATTGACCGCATATTTTGGGGCGAAACACAGCAGCCAATTGCGCACAGCAGTGTCCCACAAACAGTCATGGATTGAAGTGACCAAATCATTATTATGATTTTAAAAAAATTAAGAGACTTATTACGCCCCGTAAAATCAATCCGACAATCAACCAATAACCGGGTTATTACTTACTGCTAAATACACAGAGGCATATGGAGTAAGGAAAGGTCCGGGAATCGAACCCGGGTCCTCTAGCATGCGAGGCAAGCGCTCTAGATAATATACCCCAGGACTCCACGATTTACCTGTGTGGCCTGTTCTTGACAAAAGAGGATCGAAGCCAACACTCCGTAGCTTATCTGTCCTGGCCAGAAAAAAGTTTACCACCACACTGGTTAACCCACACTTTGGAAATCCATCCAAAACTCTGTAAATGCCTGACTGTCGGAACAAGCAACCCCCTTCTTCATTGCCCTCGTTGTGCCACAGTTTATGCCGGAAAAGATTTCCATTCACCGAGCCACCAACCTATGAGGGAGAGAAAATGACCCGTCCAATTATTTGAGGAGCGTCACACAGGCATTGGGAAAACAAAGCACTTTTTCACGGCTTTGTAACTTGGCGCAAAAAGCATGAAAAATATAACGGAAAAATCATCCAAACTACGGGGTGCAAATTCTATTGTGAGTGTTGATTTTCGAAGGCAAATCGGCAGCCCAATTTGCACACAGAAATGTCCCACTCGCGGTATTGAAGTAATTGAACTAATTTTTAACTGGGCGATTAATGTCGGCTCTTCTTGAGAAGAAACTCCCATCTCTTCTTGAACAGAGCCGCAGGATCTTTCACATCCATCCGAACAGGCAGGCGGGCATTTGAGTTTAACACCTCTTTGGAAGGATGGCATCTCTGACAATGTAGCATAACCCCATCACTAAACGCTGTAAGTTCATTTCTGCAATTTCTTTAATTTTATTTTATCCAAACCCCCCACCCCCCCCCACCTCGCCTCCCGTACTCACCAAGTCCAAGTTTGTATTTTCCAAAACGTCAACCAGCTTCTCGATTTTTGTCTCAGTGGTGAATAAAAAGTCGTCATCTACCCAAAGGAGGTACTTAGTCGTGACCTGAGAAACTACCAGGTTCCTTCCAGCAAACCAGCCCTGGGAGACACAGAGTGCTAACATTTCAAGAGCGATGTCGATTTGGCTTCATTTAACCTAGTTTTGCTCACGTTAAAAGTCTGTGGAAGTCAGTTTGCAATACTCATTGCTTCCAGGTCCTGCCAATGAGCTAGACTGGTGTACTGTCATCAGCAGTGCCCCGGAATACTGCAGGCCCACCTGGCTCAGGAATCGGACTACCAAGACCACCACAGAGAGCTGGCCCCATTCTGACATTTCATTGCCAGGCATGTCACCTTAAAGCCAGTCAGCTCAAAATAGACCCCGATTACCTCCACCCTAAGGAGGATTGTCACTATCCTCCAGATGGGATGTTAAACCAAGTTCTGTCTGTGGGCCTTGAAGATCCCATTACACTAGTAAAAGAGAAGGGAGTCTCTCTTGGTGTCCTGGCCAACACTCCCTCAGATAAATTGGTCATTCACCTCCCGGTTGCTGTGTTCATCCACAAAATACACAGTAAACCTTGTGAAGTGATTTGAAACGTCATACTGACATGAAAGGCGTTCACTTTCACGGGTAAGTGTGGTCAAGTGTAGTGATTGTGCATATGGTAGGCAAACGTAGCAACCAATTATTTTCACAGACAAGTCCCTCAAACAGCTGTGACGTGACTGACCAACCTGTTATTAAGACTTGTTGGCCACAACACTCTAAGAAACTCCCTTCTCCTTTCGAGTAGTACGGCAGTATATTTAACGGCTGTCTGAAGAGCCAGAAAGGTCCTCCATTTAACATCTCAACCAAAGGACGGCACCTCAGTACAATGCAGTAGTTTCCCCCCAGCACCGTACCACCCTGCAGTGCAAGCCTAGCCTATGATTCTCAAGTCAGATCCGAAATATTCTGACCCAGAAGCAAGAGTATTACCAATTGAACCAAGTTGTCACCAGAGTATTACTGTACTTTTGCAAATGGCATGAAGTATTGTTCAATGTTCGGTCCTTCAATTTTTTCAGGGTTAGCACTGTCATCTGCAATGATTATTGAAATGTTTGGGTAAAACTGATGAATGCTATTTATTAAGATCTGAAGTTTATTATATCTTAAGAATGTCTTTGTTGTTACTGTGACCAAGTTGTTGATGTTGTTGCCTGAAAGAGAGATAAATACGCAAATCAGTTCAAAGCAAAGAGGAAAAATACCCCATAACGATGCAGTTTAGCATAATCATTGGCACGTGTAATAATAATAATCCTTGCATTTGATACAGCGCCTTATCACATCTTCGCAACATCTCAAAGCGCTTCACAGAATATACTGCAAAGTGAATTGACTGTGTATTTTATGGGCAAAACACAGCAACCAATTTCACACAGTGGTGTCCCACAAATGGTCATGGATTGAGTGACAAATTATTTTTTTTTTAAGGGATTATTACACCAGGAAAGAGATCCGCCAATCAACTGACAATCAGGTTCCCTATTGCTATTCGATGTAGGATGGTAGTTATTAATAATAATAGTCTCCAGTTTAATATTTTGTTATGCGTTGTCTTACTGACTATTCATTACCTGGTCCAGGATCGAATAGGTGTGGCATGGGTGGCTGCCTTATAGCGATCGAAAACAAAGCCTCGTGATTTTCGAACTGAAAATGCACTTTTACAAAGGAAAAACAGAATCAAATATAATAAATGTACAAGGCAGATTAACAATAACATTACATTTATATGGCGCTTTTCACGTAGGAAGAACATCCCAAGACCCGGGACAGTTAAGGCTTTGCCCCCGAGCTGGGGGTTGGAATCAAGTGGGGTAGAGGGTCTGGGGTGGGAGGGTGGCCAAAGGCAAGGTCTTGAGACGGACCTTAAAAGAGGCAAGGGAGGGGCGAGGCAGAGCTTATTCCGGGAACAGGAACAGAGAAACCTTGGGGTCCACATAAGCAAATCTTTGAAGGTGGCAGGTGACAAAGCTGTCGGACATCACAGCCTGGATGAGGGCAAATTTCCTTCAGTTGAATGTGAACAAGACTGAGGCCCTCCTGAATGGCTCACGTCAGCGCCTCTGCACCTCAAGCTCCGGCAACATCAACCTCCATGGTTACTCACTGCAACTCACCAACAGTCAGGAACCGAGGTGTCTTGTTCGACCCTCAACTGTCTTTTCTCCCCCACATTCAAGCCATGACCCGCACTGCCTTCCCTCACCTCTGTAACATTGCCCAACTCCGCCACTGCCTCACCCCTCAGGCCGCTGAAACTCTTGTTCATGCCTTAATAATAATAATAATCCTTGAATTTGATATAGCGCTTTTCACGTCTTCTAGACGTCCCAAAGCGCTTCACAGAATATATTGTAAAGTGAATTGACTGTACATTTGTGGGCGAACGTGGCAGCCAATTGCGCACAGCAATGTCCCACAAACAGTCGTAGATTGAAAATGACCAATTTATTATTGTTTTTGGTTTTGGAGGGATTATTATTAGGCTCTGTGTGGAGTAAGGAAACTTGCCCAAGGTTTCGCCCTCTGCCTGGAATTGAACTCAGGTCTCTCACTTGCAAAGCGAGTGCTCTAACCACTGAGCTACAGGACTCCAGGCTCGACTATGCAAATGCACTGCTTGTCGCCCTTCCCAACTCCTCCCTCCACAGGCTGCAGATAACCCAGAACTACCTCTGCAGCCCGTGTCCTCTCCCGCACCAAACTCCACGACCCCATCTCCCCCACTCTTGCCTGATTTCCATTGGCTCCCTATCCTTCAGAGGATCCAGTTCAAGATCCTGGTCCTCACCTACAAAGCCCTCCATGGCCTCGCCCCACCCTACCTCTGCGACCTCCTAACCCCCTACCAACCCGCCAGCTCCCTCCGCTCAGCCGGCTCTGGCTGCTTCATGTCCCCCGACCCACCCGCCCCACCATTAGTGGGAGAGCCTTCAGCCACTCTGCCCCCAACCTCAAGAATTCCATCCCCCAATCACTCCGCCTCGGCCCCTCCTTAGCCTCGTCACGCCTCAAAACCCTCCTCTTCGACCATGCCACCCCCCCCCCTTCCCCTTCCCTCCTTTCTCCCCCCCCGACCCCAACTCGGGTCTGAAATGCTGTACTCTGTCCAGCGCCTTGGGACGTCCTCCCGACATGAAAGGCGCTACACAAATGTAATCTTCTTGTTGTTGTTGAAAGCTTATGAGATCATTGGCTTGATCAATAGAGGCATAGAGTAAAAGCACAGAACTTGTACTGAACCTTTACAAATCACTGGTTAGGCCTCAGCTTGAGTATTGTGTCCAAATCTGGGCACCACACTTTCAGAAGGTTGTCAAAGCCTTGGAGAGGGTGCAAAACAGATTTACCAGAACAATATCAGGGATGAGGAGCTTCACTTATATGGAGAGACCAAGGATTGTTGTTCTCCTCAGAGCAGAGAAAATTAAGGAGAGATTCAATAGAGGTGTTCAAAATTATGAGGGGTTTTGATAGAGTAAATAGGTGGGTAGTGGTGGGTGGGTTGGTAACCAGAGGCCATCAATTTAAGATAATTAGCAAAAGAACCAGACAGAAGAAAAGGAGATTTTTTTTTACCCAGAGAGTTGTTACGGTCTGGAATGCACTCCTGAAAGTGTGGGGGAAACAAATTTGATTATAGCTTTCAAAAGGGAATTGGATAAGTACTTGAAAAGGAAAAAATTGCACGGTTATGGGGTAAGAGCAGGGGAATGGGACTGATTGGGTGGTTCTTTCAATGAGCCAGCACAGACACGATGGACCGAATGGCCTCCTTCTTGCTATAAGATTCTATGATTCTCTGAAAATCAGTTTTACCTAAATCAGCCGAGTTGATGTGATACACAGTGCTGGTGTAAGTAACATGTTTGAGAATAGCGTTGACAATATCCAGACTTGGGCTTGTTATTGTCATTTCTTTCTCACCAGATCCATGTACCGAATCTTCAGGGACTTCAACAATTGTATTAAATACTCCCTGTGAGGCTTTCAAGGTTACCTGGCCAGGAAACAAGAAACAATCACTGTCAATTACTGTCACCATTGTCAATGGTGAACAAATTGGTAATTGATAAAGATGGCATTCACCCACAAAACACAGTCACTCCACTTTACGATATGTACTGTGAAGCACTTTGAGATACCTTCCGATGTGACATAATATTAATAATAATCCTTGCGGGATTCCATTGGCAGGACATGGCAAGTGGTGTTCCCCAGGGGTCTGTTCTGGGGCCTTATTTATATATATATAAATGACTTAGATGAAGGAATAGAGAGTTTTATAACTAAATTTGCAGATGACCCAGAGTTAGGAGGCACAGCAAATTGTGTAAATGGGAGCAGGAAGTTACGAAGGGGCTTAGATAGATTAAGTAAGTGGGCAAAACTGTGGCAGATGGAATTCAATGTGAGAAATGTGAGGTTATCCACTATGGATCCAAAAATAGCAAAACAGAATATTTTCTAAATGGTGAGAATCTAAGAACTGTGGAAGAGGAAATGGATTTGGATGTCCACGGACACAAATCGCTAAAAACAAGCTCACAGGTGCAAAAAAGTTATCCAAAAGGTTAATGGGATGTTGGTCTCTATCTCAAGGGGGCTGGAATATAAAGGAGAGGAAATGATTCTTCAAAAATATTGACTTGGTCAGACTCTATCTGGAATACTGTGTTCAGTTAGCACCACAATGCCTGTTAGGGATTCGACTTAATTCTATGTGAATGCAAATATTATTCAAGGTTTACGTACTGTGAAAATGTTCCTTTGGGTTTCATGCAAACCTAAACCTAAAATAAAATTCAAAGATTACTTCTTTTTCAGTACAGAAATAAATATCTTGAAATTTTTAAATCAGAACAAACATTTTCTCTGCTGAAAAGGAAATAGAGTTTGCTAACCTGGGATGACGATGGAATATAAAGGCTTTACTTCGACCCCTTGGCTGGGGTAGCTCAGAGGAGAATTGGCTTCTGCTATAATTACTTGCTTCAAAGGCAACTCATTCCTGTTTTCAAATAGACATCAAAATCATACTTCTTTCCCCATCAACAGCCCTTAACTCTCTATACTTAACTTTCTGGAGTCCTTTAAGGGTTAGAGCGCTCACCTCGCAAGCAAGAGCACCTTGGGTTTGATTCCCGGCAGGGCGAAACGTTAGCAAGTTTCCTTACACCACAAGCCTCTGTCTACCGTTCAGTAAATAGAAACTCGGTTCTCAGTCGATTGGCGGATAGCTTTTCTGGGGGTAATAACTGCTTCAAAATAAAATGCAAAACAAAAATAATTTGGTCACTCAATCCATGATCGTTTGTGGGGACGCTGCTGTGCGCAATTGGCTGCCGTGTTTCGCCCACAACATATGCAGTCAATTCACTTTACAGTATATCCTGTGAAGCGCTTTGAGACGTCTCGAAGATGTGATAAGGCGCTATATCAAATGCAAGGATTATTATGAAGAATTATTATTATAAAGCTAAATGCAAGTCTACATAAGTCTTCAATATATTCCCATATTGGGCCAGAAGTATAAAATTATTTGAATTAATAAAGATACCTCTTTTGGTATTTCTCATATTCCAGTTTTCTTCTTTCTTTGACTGCTGCAATGTCTTTTTTGTCATAGGAAAGTTCACAATTTGTTGACTGTCCCCAAATTTCACAACTGCATTCCTTCCTGGGATCCGTCCTATGAAAACAGATGGCGTGAACACTGACATTGCCAAATGTAATTTTTATCATATCCTCCATCGTCCACTTTAGTGACACCGTGATTTCCTGGTTCAAGTCGAAGTTAACATTATGTAAAAGAGGTCACCCCTCTTTTACATCACCTGTCTGTCTATAATAATTATATTTTCTGTTCTTTAATGCATGCGTTGGAAACATTACCCGTTGAAAGCGCTTAACAACAACAACAAGATTCCATTTATAAAGCACCTTTCACGTCAGGAGGACGTCCCAAGGCGCTGCACAGTTGGGTCATGACCCGAGCATTGGGGGGAAATGGTCAGGGTGAGGGGAGGGAAGGGAGGGAGCGAGGAGGGGGGAAATGGTCAGGGTGAGGGGAGGGAAGGGAGGGAGCGAGGAGGGGGAAGAGAGTCGAGAGGGGAGCTGAAGGCTCGGTCAAAGAGAAAGGTTTTGAGACCGGCCTTGAAGGAGGAAAGGGAGGAGGCGGCGAAGGCACTGGGGATGGAGTTCCAGAGCCTCGGGGCTGAGAGGCTGAAGGCCCGACCACCGATGGTAGGGCGGTTGGGGCGGGGGATGTGGAGCAGACCGGAGCCAGAGGAACGGAGGGTACGGGCAGGTAGGTAGGGGGATAGTAGGTCAGAGAGGTAGGAGGGAGCGAGGCCGTGAATGGCCTTGTAGGTGAGGATGAGGATCTTGAAATCAATCCTCTGGGGGATGGGGAGTCAGTGGAGGCGAGCGAGGGTGGGAGTGAGGGTGAGGGCGAGGGTGGGAGTGATGTGGTCGCGGTGTCTGGTGCGGGACAGTACACGAGCTGCAGAGTTCTGAATGACCTGCAGTGTGGAGGGAGGTGGCGGGAAGGCCGGCGAGGAGAGAGTTCCCATAGTCCAGCCTTGAGGTGACAAAGGCGTGAACCAGGGTTTCAGCAGCGTGAGGGGTGAGGTAGTGCCGTAGTCTGGCGATGTTCCGGAGGTGATGAAAGGCGGTGCCAGTTGTGGTGCGGATGTGAGGGAGAAAGGACAGCTCAGGGTCGAACAAAACGCCGAGGTTCCTGACTGGCTTTGAGAGGTGGAGAGTGCGGCCTTGGATGCTGATGGTGTCAGCGCCTGAGGTGCGGAGGCGCTGACGTGAGCCAATCAGGAGGGCCTCGGTTTTTCGCACGTTGAGCTGAAGAAAGTTGTCTCTCGTCCAGGACTCGATGTCGGACAGACAGCTGTCAGGACATCGGGGGTCGTGGAGTTGAGAGCTTAAGGTTGCTATTATCTAGTTTAAAGCATTGTGGTTTAAATGTGGTTGTAGTCTGACCCAAATCCACTCGCGGAGAAGGTGCCATTAAGATTCCAAAAGCATCGGTTGCAACAGCTTTGGCGACATAACTTAAACATTGTAATATGCAAATAAAGAATCAGGCAATTCTCGTTCTGTTGCTCCATTTTTTTTTAATTCGAAAAAGCTTACCAGTCTTTTCCAAACGGGGACAGAAACGCGAGGGTTTTCTTTAGTGTGAAGTTGACGTGTGGATTGCCTTTGAGGTTATTAACGTGCTTGGGGTGAAGCAACTTCCAATGTAACATTAAGTTGTTTGTGTCAGTGAACCACAAGGTAACCACCAAAGCCAAGATCACAAAAATCAACAAGCAGAGCTTCCATGGTAACCTGTAAAAGATACAAGCAGCAATCAAATTAGACTTTTTTTTATTCTAATTGTTTTATTTGATTATCTCACAAGACAGGTCCTGGAAGAATAAGACACTTTGGATCCTTTGTTACACATTGAAAGGTGAGTGCGTGGGAGGAAACAGATGGACGAGCGTTTCGATTTCATGTAGGCGTGAGAAATGTTTTAGCCGGGCATCCAGTCGCGATAAGGGCGGTAGCGGTGTTAAGAGCTGTTTGATTATTAATATCGCTATTGCATTTCAATTTAAGTGGATTTAATAGGAAATTAGGACAAAGGCGATTCCTCGATTTATACAGATTGGACTTATGTGATTTTTACTGTACTAAATGTATCATCCTAATCGATATGACTTGTGTGTAGATTGCTACTCTTGCGTTGTAACAAAGCGTTTCACAGAATATACTACAAAGTGAATTGCCTGTATCTTTTGTGGAAATATATAGAAACGCTAAAGGTTTATATCGGAAAATCTGTCCGGGCTGTTCCGGTGTAGGTAACTGGGTGTGGGTGAACAAATTTTGACTGCTCGACTTTACTTGCCTCTGAAGAGTACGCGGGTCAGAGAGGACGAGGTAGCGGCTAAAGTAAATTTTATCTGGACAGAAAAGTTAAAACCGTGATCCGTTTCCACGCACCGAGACACACAAATACTCCCGACTATTTTGACAAAAAAAAAATCACTGCCTTCCGATTGTTTAGTTACAGCAAAGTTGTCTCAAAGAAATTTCAGCCCATTGGGAAGTCCTCCCAACATGAAAGGTGCTACACAAATATAATCTTGGGAGTGTACAACTCACCATGACGCTGTCTTCCAAGCCCTTACGTTCCCAATCTTGGAATAAGTTTGTTCATTGTGTTTGTCTGCACAGGTTTCCTGCTTCATTCTGCGTTAAGTTGCGAATGAATTGAAGTACTTTCACTTTCAACGAGTGCTTTGAATTAACAGGTTTTCCAAACAACATAGTTTGGCTGTTGCAACAAGTAGGCAGGAGGAGTCTGTTTGAATAATTAATGTGGGGTATGCCGTAGGGATTTTCAAGGGGAAAAAATAAGCAATTGTAGATGTCATGTTCTCAAGTACAGTTGGGCATTATCCTATTTTCTGAAAACGTAAAACAATTGATCATTCACAACTATGCTGTCGGGAAATCTGGCAGCCAATTAGCACGCAGCAATGTCCCACAAACAACCACAACAACAACAAAATGACATTTATAGAGCGCCTTTCACGTCGGGAGGACGTCCCAAAGCGCAGGACAGTCAAGTGTCGGGGCCCGAGCATGGGGGAGGGGTGGGGTAGGGGTGAGGGAAGGCAGAGAGGTGGGAGGGAGACCAAAGGCACAGTCGAAGAGAAGGGTCTTGGGACCAGCCTTGAAGGAGGCGAGGGAGGAAGCGAGGCGAAGGGACCGTGGGATGGAGTTCCAGAGTGTGGGGGCAGAGAGGCTGAAAGCCCGGCTACTGATGGTAGGGCGGGTCGGGCGGGAGACATGGAGCAGCCCGGAGCCCGATGAACAGAGGGAGGGAGCGGGCATCCATGAAGTGAGCGGCAATTCACTCCTTCGCTTCATGGCTGTTGGGATGCCCTCCTGACGTGAAAGGCACTACACAAATCTAATTTGTTGTTGTGAGACATTGCTGTGCGCCATTGGGCTGCCCCATTCACATCTTTGTCAGAGGCTCTGTCCTTTGGACGTTAAACCGAGTTCCCTTCTGCGCCTGGTGAGGTGGACATTAGAGATCCCATGGCACTGTTTGAAATGAAACAGTAGTTTCTCCCACAAGGAGGCTATCGATTCCCGTTGCACGGCTGTTTGTGGAGACATTGCTGTGCGCCAAATCGCCTAAATCGCCTAAAAACACACAAGTGTAGGGTTAAAGCTTTCCAAACAGCTTTCCGTCAATTAACAAAAGAAAAATCGACGCAAATCTCGACTATAAATTGAAACGTTAAGAAATATTAACTCAAGTGAAGTTACTGCCGTGAAGCAAACTTGCTTTTATTTTCATTTTATTCTCACATCGCTGTGAACGTAGACGGAGCACCCGGACACCAGACCCATCCAAAATTTAGAAGAAAAGAAACACATTAATTATTTTGACTGTTTCACCAAAAGAAACAACAAATAGCAAACGTCCATCACCAGATTAGATCCAAACCCCATCATGCTATCCTCCCTATCCCCCAGAGCTTCGAGGCTCGTACATATTCAGAGCTTGTTGAATCCAAAAGGCGCCTGAGCATCTCCGCCGTTAATGAAACACAGAACATTTCAGCCGGTTTTTGAAATAAGACAAATGATGTTTGAGATTGACTTGTCGCCTCCAAACCTTCGATATTTACTCTGAATATTTTCACGTCTTCGAGACGTCTCAAAGCACAGAATTGGCCGTATATTTTGTGGGTGAAATGCGTATATTCTGTATATTGTGTAGCACAGTGGTTAGAGCACTTGTCTCGCAAGAGAGAGACCTGGGTTCCATTCCCAGCAGTGGGGAAATGCTGGGCAAGTTTCCTTACTCCACACTTCCTTAATCTGTTTACTTAGCAGTAAGTTGGAACCCAGTTGTTAGTCGAATGGTGGATCCCTTTTCCGAGGGTAATAAATCCTTAAAAAAAAAACTCAATCCACGACTGTTTGCGAGACGCTGCTGGGCGTGATTGGCTGCCAGGGTTTCGGCCACCAAATATTCAGTCAATTCACTTCACAGTGTACTTTGAGATGTCTTGAAGACGTGATAAGGCACTGTACCAAACGCAAGGATTATTATTACTTTTTTTAATGCCGAGAACAAGGCTTTTTGCGTACGCACTCTCCCCTGAGTCAGAAGGTCACTGAGTCTGCGTGAGGCTCAGCTTTGGATGCCCGGGCAAACTAGCTCATTTCTTGGCAACAGAATAGTTGACTCACAAGTAAAAACCAGAAGTATCTGCGATTGGCATCAAACCGTAAGCGTACAAAAGCAAATCCAAATTCAGTCAACGATTCCTTCCGACGATACATTTCAGGTGATTTTTGAAATAGTACAAAGATTTCTTGAAAATAGTTTGAGACTTCCTTCGGAATGTTTTGTATGTTTTTTCAAGTCCAGCCAGTGTTTGGTTGCTCGGCTCACCCTTTGATTGATGACCGATCACAACGTCACTGCACGATCCCACAGACAGCTGGCCAAGTCCGTCAATGAAAAACTCTAGGGGCAGCAACAACAAGTTATGTCGCGAGGACGCCTCAAAGCTGACTGGACTTGACGGGAGCGTAAATTTGTGCGTGTGTCGAGGACGGGGCAATGCTGGGAAGGGAGAGGGAAGGTAAACGAAAAGAATGGTTCGAAAACATGGGTTTTAAGGCAGGTTATGAAAGCAGGAAAGGAGGGCACAAGGCAGAGAGACCCCAGCATGGAATTCAGCCCAACTGGTTGTCAGATGTTAATATAGATTACTGGTCACATAAACAACAACAAGATTGCACTTATAGAGTGCCTTTCACATCGGGAGGATGTCCCAAGGCGCTGGACAGTTGGGTCGGGACCCGAGCAAGGGGGAAATGGTCAGGGTGAGGGGAGGGAAGGGAGGGAGCGAGGAGGGGGTAGAGAGTCGAGAGGGGAGCTGAAGGCACGGTCAAAGAGAAAGGTCTTGAGATCGGCCTTGAAGGAGGAAAGGGAGGAAGCGGCGAAGGCACTGGGGGATAGAGTTCCAGAGCCTCGGGGCTGAGAGGCTGAAGTCCCGGCCACCGATGGTAGGGCGGTTGGGGCGGGGGATGTGGAGCAGACCGGAGCCAGAGGAACGGAGGGTACGGGCAGGTAGACAGGGGGATAGTGGGTCAGAGAGGTAGGAGGGAGCGAGGCAGTGAATGGCCTTGTAGGTGAGGATGAGGATCTTGAATTTGATCCTCTGGGGGATGGGGAGCCGGTGGAGGCAAGCGAGGGCGAGGGTGGGAGTGAGGGTGAGGGTGAGGGTGGGAGTGATGTGGTCACTGGTGCGGGACAGTACACGAGCTGCAGAGTTCTGAATGACCTGCAGTGTGGAGGGAGGGCCGGGAAGGCCGCGAGGAGAGAGTTCCCATAGTCCAGCCTTGAGGTGATAAAGGTGTGGACCAGAGTTTCAGCCGCGTGAGGGGTGAGGTAGTGCCGTAGTCTGGCGATGTTCCGGAGGTGATGGAAGGCGGTGCCAGTTGTGGTGCGGATGTGAGGGAGAAAGGACAGCTCAGGGTCGAACAAAACGCCGAGGTTCCTGACTGGCTTTGAGAGGCGGAGAGTGCAGCCTTGGATGCTGATGGTGTCAGCGCCTGAGGTGCGGAGGCGCTGACGTGAGCCAATCAGGAGGGCCTCAGTTTTTCGCACGTTGAGCTGAAGAAAGTTGTCTCTCGTCCAGGACTCGATGTCGGACAGACAGCTGTCAGGACATCAGTGGTCGTGGAGTTGAGGGTAGAGGAGGAAAGGTAGAGTTGGGTGTCATCCGCATACATGTGGAAGTTAACTCCATGTCTGCGGATGATGTCACCACAGGGGGAGCGTATAGAGGGTGAAGAGGAGGGGACCGAGGACAGAGCCCTGAGGGACACCGCACGAGACAGTGCGGGGGTGGAGGAAAAACCGTTTGCAGAGACAAAATGAAGACGGTGGGAGAGGTACGACCTAAACCACTCAAGGACAGGGCCTTGAAGGTTGAGGTGGGAGGACAAGCGGTGGAGGAGGATAGAGTGGTCGACTATATCGAATGCAGCCGATAGGTCGAGGAGGACGAGGAGGCAGAGGGAGCCCTGGTCGTAGATGGTCAAGATGTCCTTGGTGACCTTGACCAGGGCGGTTTCCGTGCTATGGGCTTTAACTGAAACAGGAATTACTTCTGATTGCCTGATCAACATTACTCCAGATCGAAACAATAAGCCATTCATCTGATGATTGCTGTGGCTCCTGTTTGCAAATTTGCTGCTGGATTTATCTCCCGAATCACAATCGGAACATTTACAGAGAACGTCTTTCAAATGTTTCAGGTTGAGGCATATCTTACGACATGCTTTGAACTCCGGGATGGAGTGCCAGTGAGGGAGAAGAATGGCTGAATACCCATCCACCGACGTGAAGCAGGCCGATGCTCATTGAGCGAAAGGTTGAAAGAAGTCGCAGGGATAAGATGGGGAGAGATCGTGGAGGGATTTTAAAGTGAGAATGAGATCTTGAACTCAATCGGCTGGGGATGCGGAGCCAATTGAGCCAAGCGACGATGGGTTCACAGAGCCCGGACACTGGTTGCAGAGTTCTGGAAAGTCTGGGACTTAGGTACGGAAGAGCTAGGAGTTGGGTGAGCAGAGTGCAGTCAAGCCAGGATGCGATAAAGGCATGGAAGAATAAAGGAAAATGATCTTTTTGTTGCTTGTTCACAGTACAATTTACAAAATGAGATTAATTCAAGGTTAATCCCAGGGCACCATTGGAAAAGGAAAGGGCATTTCTCATATGTTGTAGAGGCGTAATAAAGTGCTGCATCCAATGCAAGGATTATTGTTAGCTTTACAACTGATTCCATGAACTCTGCCATGAACAGATGTGGAACAGGATTTATTGGGCTCAATTACCTGGATGAGCTATCCTTGATAAACGAGGATCAAAGCCAACGCTCCATACTTTTTCTGTCCTGGCCATGAAAAAGTTAACAACACAACTGGTTATCTCACAATTTGGAAATCCATCGAGTGCTTGGTACGTGCCGGGTTGCAAGAATAAGCAGTCGCCATCATCGTCTCCTTGCTCATACCAAAGTTTATGCAAGAAACGGCGTCCGTTCACAGAGGCACCAACCTGTAGTGTGAAATGACAATTCCGGTTACCTGAGGTACTTCACATCAATCTTCCTGCGACAAGTCGCCCATGAAATAGACGCAGCACACAGCACTTTACAGTATATCCTCCGTAGGAAATGAGCTTCAAATTCTCTGGACGCTGCTGTGCGCAGTTGGCTGCCGCGTTTCACCCACAAAAATTCCATTCTGTGAAGCGCTTTGAGACGTCGCGAATAATAAATAATAATAATCCTTGAATTTTGATATAGCGCTTTTCACGTCGGGAGGACGTCCCAAAGCGCTTCACAGAATACACTGCAAAGTGAATTGACTGTATATTTGTGGGCGAACGCGGCAGCCAATTGCGCACAGCAATGTCCCACAAACAGTCGTAGATTGAAATGACCAATTTATTATTGTTTTTTTTGTTTTGGAGGCGTGATAAGGCGCTATATCAAACGCAAGGTTTATTATTATTTGTATTCTTCACTGATTCAGAATTCGAACACTAAAATAACCCAAACCCCTCACCTCCTGTACTCACCAAGTCCAAGGTTGTATTTTCCAACACGTCAACCAGCTTCTCGATTTTTGTCTTTTTGGTAAAGAAGAAGTCATCATCTACCCAAAGGAGGTATTTAGTTGTGACCTGAGAAGCTGCCAAGTTCCTTCCAGCAAACCAGCCCTGGGAGACACAAAGCGGTAACGTTCAAGCAAGATGTCAATTTGGTTATTTTGATATTGGGGAAAAGTGCTGACAACAACAACAACACATTACACTTGTGTAGCGCCTTTCACACCAGGAGGACGTCCCAAAGTGCTGGACAGTTGGAGATCCACACCCAAGCTAGTGGTTGGGATCAGGAGGGGTGGAAGGCGGAGAGTTTAGGGGTAGGATGGTGACCAAAGATACAGTTGAAGAGGAAGGTCTTGAGACAGGTCTTGAAGGAGGCAACAGATGGGATAAGATGGAGGGACTCTGGGATGGAGTTCCAGAGAGTGGGGGCAAAGAGGCTGAAGGCCCGCCTGCCAATGGTGGTGCGGGCAAAGGCTGGGGTCTGCTGAATTGAGGGAGCGGGCAGGTTGAGAGGAAGTTAGGAGGTCACGGAGCAAGGCCATGGAGGGCTTTGAAAGTGACGACCAGGATCTTGAACTGTATCCTGAATGATGAGGAGTGATGATGTTTCTTAATGTACTCCTATGTTAATCAACAAAAGTAGTTTGTCTCAAGACATACCTCTTTGACCATCCTTCCCCTCTCTACCCTCTGATTTGTGGTGGTACTTTGACTTTGAGCTCCTAGACTAGGCTGCGCTCCCAATGCAGTGCTGGTGATGTGCTGCATTATCGGAGGTACCGTCCTTCGGATGAGCTGTTAAACCGAGTTCCCTTCTGCCTGCAATGATGGCTGTTTAAAGCACTATTTGGAAAGAGAAGGGAATCTCTTCCAGTAGTGCTGGCCAACAACCCTTCAAATAAAATTGGTTATTCCCTTCATGGCTGTGTGTGAAAAATACAGACAATTTATCCCAGGAAAAGCTTGTATTAGCCTACAAATATACTACAGAATGTTTGTAAAGCACTTTGAGATGTTCTCAATGGGAAAAGTGCTACACCAAACACAAGATTTCTTCTTATTATTATTAATTAAAATTTATTATTTATTATTAGTAATAAAACCAGGCAAATGAGACTAGTCGTATGACAAGAAGTATACAGGATAATAAAAATATTAATAGTGTCTGGATAAACTTATTTTTTGTTTAAATAAATTGAAGAAAAGATATTACTGTACTTTTGCAAAAGGCATAAAGTATTGTTCAATGTTCTGTCCTTCAATCTTTTCAGTATATTTATTGTCATCTGCAATGATGATCTGAATTTCTGGGTAAAAAGCCCGAATGCTATTTATTAAGTTCTGTAACTTATGATATCTGTAAAATGTCTTTGTTATAATTGTAACCAAGGAGTTGATGCTGTTGGCTGGAATAAAGAAAACAAACAGATTTTTAAACATAACTCACTGAATTGCTAGCCATTTCATTTACAGTGATTTAAAGCACTACAGATATCCCAAAACATTAACAGTGGGTAATATTAATATAATTTATTCTTCAGCATTACCAATTCTATATAAAACTAGTTGTGAATAAAATACGTTCCCAGTTTAATACTCATTACATCATAGAATCATAGAATTATACAGCACAGAAGGAGGCCATTCGGCCCATCATGTCTGTGCTGGTTCTTTTAAAAGAGCTGTCTAAATCAATCCCACTCCCCCGCTCTCGCCCCATAACTCTGCAAACTTGTCGCCCCCCCACATGGACTCTTATAAAATAATATTACCTGGTCCAGGATCAAACAAGCGTGGCAAAGTGGGCTGCCTTATAGCAATCGAAAAAATAGCCAGGTGCTTCTCAAACTGAAAATGTACTTTTAGAAATAAAGAAGTTGAAAAAGGTTGTACGTGCATTTGACCAAAAGGCAATTTTTGCAAAGAATCTTACAAAAGTTCCACACAGCTAAATCCATTATCTGCTCATTATGAGGGCAGCAAAACAGCAGAAGCGATCCATCAGTTATTTTACACAATAAACAAATTTTGTAATAGTTTTTCACCCACAAAATATACAGTCAATTCACTTTACAGTGTCTTCTGTGAAGCGCTTTGGGACGTCCTCCCGACGTGAAAAGCACTATATCAAATGCAAGGATTATTATTATTATTATAATTATTTACAGCATATTCTGTGAAGCGCTTTGAGATGCCTCAAAGACGTGATAAGGCGCCATATCAGATCCAAGGATTATTATTATTTTATATAATGCAGATCCTTTGCTACAAAACCTTACGAAGTACAGTCATCGAACATTACATTGGATCCTGGCGTGTTCCCAACATGAAAGACGCTGTATGAAAAGAAATGAATAGAATATGCGTGTTCCTACCTAAATCAGCCGAGTTGATGTGATACACAGTGCTGGTGTAAGTAACATGTTTGAGAATAGCGTTGACAATATCCAAACTTGGGCTTGTTATTGTCATTTCTTTCTCACCAGATCCATGTACCGAATCCTCAGGGACATCAACAATTGTGTTAAATACTCCCTTTGAGGCTTTCAGTGTTACCTGGCCAGCAAAAGTGGATAATTTACTATTAGTGTTGTGGTGCATTGACTGATGCAATGTGCAAATCAGACCATTTATTGTTTTCATTTATTTTCTTTCTCAGTCTTGCATTCGGAGTGCAGATGTACTGAAAAGAATTGGGACTTTAGAAGGTGGCAACAATTTGGAGCTGTTTAATCATTGGCGGCCAACAGAATGCGCAGGACAAGCAACTGGATAAAGGGAGCATTTCATAGGCAAATTATTCAAAACCTGACCTTAAATAAATAATCCTTTAAAACAAAATAATAAAATGGGTCACTTGAATCCACGACTGTTTTGTGGGGACTCTGCTGTGCGCAATTGGCCGCTGTGTTACGCCCACAAAATATACAGTCATATGACATTAATTTGCATTTGTATTCTGCCCTTAACATCTCAGAGGACTTATGCACAATATCAAAGAGAATAAAGTGTTGTTGGGGGGGGGTTGGGAAATTTGACGAGAGCCACTAAAAAAGAAACCATCCAGTTAACATTTCCCAACCGCTTTTTTTCGGTGGGGGTGGGTGAGGGTTGGGGAAAGATCCTGCAAAATGAATGACATTAAATTTGACAAACTGAAATTGCCAATGAATTTCCATGTAAAGTAGGTCAGTAATCGACTCAATGGATGTCTCGTTAAGGGTTCACGTACCGTGATGATCTCTCTTTGAAGCTCGTGTACACCTAAACCTAAAAGTGAAGAGATCAATTTTGGCATAAACAATTAAAACAGGTTTTTACTCAACAACAACAACAGCTTGTATTGATATAGCATGCTTCACGCATTCTAGAGTCCCGGAGCGCTTGACAGTGGCGGAGTCTGACCCCTGAGCCGGGGGAGAGGAATGGGGGAGATGACCAAAAGCACTTTCAAAAAGGAAGGTCTTTAGGCGGGATTTGATGGTGGGGAGGGAGGGGGTAGCAGGTGGGGGAGTGGGGGTGGGGGGGAAGCAAGTCAGATAGGTAGGGAGGTGCGAGGGCATGAAGGGATTTGAAAACGAGTGAGAGGATCTTGAAATCAATCCGTACAGAAATTGGAAGCCAATGTAGATGTACATATCTACAAAAAAAAAACACCTAAATTCCCTCTCTCCCCATCCCTTGACCCCCTCTCACCCCACAGTGAAAAGGATATAGAGTTTGCTAACCTGGGATGACGATGGAATATAAAGGCTTTACTTCGACCCCTTGGCTGGGGTAGCTCAGAGGAGAATTGGCTTCTGCTATAATTATTTGCTTCAAAGGCAACTCATTCCTGTTTTTAAATAGACATCAAAATCAGCACACAGTGAAATTACCTTGCAAGGATGCATAGGTTTAAAGTTATAAAGGGCAATTTCAGGAGATTTTTCTTTATAAGTGCTGTATCAAATACAAGGATTATTACTATCATTATTAACCACTGGAACAGGTTTCCAGGAAGGGTGGTTGAGGCCGGGACACTGGGACTTATTTAAAAAGTAGCTCGATGCTGTAATAAAATTGATCATTCGCTTTGTGGTTGATTGTTGGACGCTGATGTGTGCAAATTAAACTAATAATAGTAACGCTTGCACTTGATAGAGCGCCTTATCATGTCTTTGAGACGTCTGAAAGCGCTTCACACAATATCCTGTAAAGTGAATTGGCTGTATATTTTGTGGGAGAAATTCGGCAGCCAATTGCGCACAGCAGCGTCCAAGAAACAGTCGTGGATTGAGTGACCAAATTCTTTTTTTTTAAATTGGCTGCTGGATTCACCTACAATATACACAGTCGCTTCAAAGTAAAAATCCTGTGAAGCCTTTGGAGATGTCTCAAACGATGTGATAAAGCGTTGCATCAACAATCCAATGCAAGCAATTTATGATGGTGCCAAAGGCAACACCGCCATAAATACAATTGATATTGACACATGAGAGGAACGTCTTAAATCCCCAGGCAACAACAACAACAAAAACAAGATTACAGTTGTGTAGCGCCTTTCATGTCGGGAGGACGTCCCAAGGCGCTGGACAGAGTACAGCATTTCAGACCCGAGCTGGGGCCGGGGGGGGGGGGGGGGGAGGGAGGGGAGGGGAAGGGGGGTGGCCGAGGGCATGGTCGAAGAGGAGGGCTTGAGGCGGGACTTGAAGGAGGCTGAGGAGGGGGTGAGGCGGAGTGACTGGGGGATGGAATTCCAGAGGTTGGGGGCAGAGTGGCTGAAGGCTCTCCCGCCAACGGTGGGTCGGGTGGATCGGGGGACGTGGAGTAGCCAGAGCCGGCTGAGCGGAGGGAACGGGCGGGTTGATAAGGGGTTAGGAGGTCGCAGAGGTAGGGTGGGGCGAGGCCATGGAGGGCTTTCCAGGTGAGGACCAGGATCTTGAACTGGATCCTCTGAAGGATAGGGAGCCAGTGGAGTTGGGTGCGAGTGGGGGAGATAGGGTCGTGGAGTCTGGTGCGGGAGAGGACACAGACTGCAGTTCTGAATTATCTGCAGCCTGTGGGAGGGAGGAGTTGGGAAAGCCGACAAGTAGGGCGTTTGCATAGTCGAGCCTGGAGGTGATGAAGGCATAAACAAGAGTTTCAGTGGCCTGAGGGGTGAGGTAGTGGGTAAAACGATGCGTGGGTAAAACAAACAGCTTGTTGCTGTAGGGTGGCTGTTCTGGAGGGTTGAGATCGGAAGAGCCAAACCAATCTTAAGACCTGGTAATCCGCGTTTGGCTTTATCTGAGGCCTCACCTCACTCTCATAGCACTACTCAAGAAGTAAAGGGGGTTTCTCCCAGTGTCCTAATTGCCCAAACAAAATTGGTCATTCACTGCATGGCAGTTTATGGGACATTTCTGCATGCAAAATGGCTGCCCTGTACACACAGTCACCACATTTTACAGTAAATAAGGTGAAGTGCTTTGAGACTTGCTCTCAAATAAAAGCCGGCACACGAGGATTAATATTATTCCAGTAACTACCACGAATCATTGTGTTCATTTCAAAGTCTATTTACCACTGGCAGATAAGCTTTGAGGCTAAGCTCAAGGCTACATTTGCCCATAAAACACACATTTGCCCATAAAACACACACTTTACAGTAAATCCTGTTAAGCTCCTTGGATCATACTCCCGACATACATGAAAGGTGCTGTACCAAATGTGAGGATTATTGTTAGCACTTCAAACAGGGTGGAATCTTTAAGTTGGTACACAGAGAACCTTTTTTTATAATGTGCGTATTCCAGGCTTCTTCTTTTTTTGACCGACACCTTGTCTTTCTTTTTGAAATAACTTTCCAAAAGCTTTGATTTCATCCCAAACTCACAGCTGCAGGCCTTTCTGGGATACAGCCTGGGGACACAGAGGGAAGGAACACAGAGTTTACCCACTGTGATAAATACCAGATCCATTACAACAACAACAGCAACAACCACTTGCTTTTATATATCGCCCTTCACGTGGAGCAGCATTTCGGAGAGCTGAACAATGGTGACGTTTGACCCCAAGCTGGGGAGAAAGGCGAGGTGACTGTGGGCATGTTTGAAGAGGCGTTTGACAAAGTATTACAAGGAAGACTCCTTCACAAACTGATGTCATTGGATGGCAAGGGGAGAACATGGGCTTGGCTTTGCAATCGACTGACGGGAAGCAAACAGAAGGCAATCAAAGAGGTACTTCAGGCAAACCTAGGGCAGGTTTGTGTAAATAGCCAAGTGATATATTAGTTTACTTATTGTTCACTTCATTGTAATAATATCAGGCAGAAAAAAAACATACAGGATGTTAGGCTATTGCCAAACCGGATGTATTAGGTTTAGCAAAGGTCTTGTATGATAATAATCCTTGCATTTGATATAGCGCTTTTCACGTCGGGAGGACGTCCCAAAGCGCTTCACTGTAAAGTGAATTGACTGTATATTTGTGGGCGAACGCGGCAGCCAATTGCGCACAGCAATGTCCCACAAACAGTCGTAGATTGAAAATGACCAATTTATTATTGTTTTGTTTTGGAGGATTATTATTAGGCTCTGTGTGGAGTAAGGAAACTTGCCCAAGGTTTCGCCCTCTGCCTGGATTGATCTCAGGTCTCTCATTTGCAAAGCGCGTGCTCTGACCACTGAGCTACAGGATTCCACAAGTATAGTACAGTCATCTCTGAATCAGAGGGAGTGGGATCAAGCCCTGGCTCAGGAGTTTAATGTCATATAGTCTAGGCTAAGGTGACACTCCAATTTTGGAGGTGCCGTCCTTTGAATGAGACATTAAAATGAGATCTCGTCTACCTGTTCAGGAGGTTGTGAAAGGTCCCATTGCACTACTTGAAAAGAAAAGGGGGTTGTGTACTGGCCAGCAATCGTTCAGTTTGCCTACAAAATACACAGTCACTTTACTTTACACTTTACAGTGAATCCTCAAACGCATTTTGAGTCGACCTTCCACGTGAAAGGCATTGTATCAAACACAAACAATGTTATGAAGATTATATTTGTGGGAATTTGCTTTGTGCAAATTGGCTGCAGTGTTCACCTACAAACAGAGTAATGTACTTTACTGCAATTAAAGATTCCCCCACAAAGTACACACAGTCAAACCACTTTATAGAATATCCCGTGAAGCAGTTTGAGACATCTCGACAATCATAGAATCATAGAATGATATAGCACAGAAGGAGGCCATTCGGTCCATCGTGTCTGTGCTGTTCTTTAAGAAAGAGCTGTCCAAATCAATCCTATTTTTTTAAAATTGGTGCCCTCAGGTTACCGACCCACCCACCAGTGGAAATAGTCTCTCCTTGTTCACACTATCGAATCCCCTCATCATTTTGAAAACTTCTATTAAGTCTCCTCTTAACCTTCTCTGCTCCAAGGAGAATAATCCCGGCTTCTCTCGCCTCTCCTGATCACTGAAGTCCCTCATTCCTGGTACCATCCTGGTCAATCTCCTTTGCACCCTCTCCATTGCCTTGACATCCTTCCTAAAGTGCAATGCCCAGAACTGAACGCAGTCTCTCGCTGAGGCCTAACCAGTGTTTTATAAAGGTTCATCATAACTTCCTGACTTTTGTATTCAATGCCCCTCTTTATAAAGCCCAGTATCCCGTATGCTTTTTTAACAGCTTTGTCTACCTGTCCTGACACCTTCAAAGATTTACTTATATGACCCCCAGGTCTCTCTGTTCCTTCACCCCCTTTAAGATTGTACCATCAGCTTATATTGCCTCTCCTCTTCTTCCCAAAATGCATAATTTCGCATTTCTCCATTTTAAACTTCATCTGCCACATGTCGGCCCATTTTACCAGTCTATGTCCATTTGCAGTCTGTTACTATCCTCCTCATTATTTACTACTTTTCCTGGCTTAGTATCATCTGCAAAGTTGGAAGATGTACACTCTATACCCAAGTCCAGGTCATTTATATAGATCAAAACAATGTGATAAGGCATATTGCAATTGCAATTATTAACCAGTGATGCCCTTTGACAAGTTACAGGAGCTCTATGAAATACAAGTATTATTATCGTTTCTTATTTTTCTCCCAAATAGTGCCCCTAAAAATCCACCTTGGGACGTCCTCCAGACGTGAAAGGCTCTTTACAAATGTAATTTTGTTGTTGTTGTTGTATTCTTTGCAATTGAAGCTCATACATTACCTCACCAATGGGCATAATAGGCAGCCCAGATCCTAATTCAGTGTGTACAGGAGAAATGAGCTTAAGATTGAGAATTGACAGAATGCCAGCGATCGCTGACCAGGAACATATCTTAAGGTGATAGTGACCTTGTGGAATCAAAGAGTGAAAGCATGCCGCACCCTTATGCTCAACGGTTGCTCAGTGATGCACTCAATGCTAACAATATGTTTTATTTTAATTAAAACAAAATACGCAATGCAGAACTAACAAGGACAAGGTTTTTTTTAAATGCAGGAAAAGAAACAGGCAGGCCGAAATGGTCATTTTCATCTCAAAAATATCACACATCACATATCAGCCTGGCTCAGTTGGTAGCACACTCTTGCTTCTGAGTTAAAAGCTTGTGGGTTCAAGCCCCATCTTGGGACTAGAAGCTCACGCAGTCCAGGCTGATACTCCAGTGCGGTGCTAGAGGAGCACTGCATTGTCAAAGGTATCCTTCTGCCTGTTCTGGTGGACGTTAAAAGATCCCATGGCATTACTCAAAAAGAGAAGGGAGTCTCTCCCAGGATCCTGGCCAACAATCCCCTGGATATAATTAGTCATTGACTTCATGGCTGTTTGTGGAACATTGCAGGGTGCAAATTGACTGCCATGTCATCGCGTTACAGTGAATCCTGTGAATCACTTTGAGACATCTTCTTGGTGTGGACAGGTGAGTTATGAAATGTTAGGAATGATATTATTTTAATAATCTTACCAGTGCTTTCCATATGGAGAGAGAACACTCAGATTTTCTTTCGGTGTGAAGTTGAAGTTCAGGATAATTCCAGAGGTGATATTCTTCTCAGTGGGAGCAATCGTCCTGAACAGGATAATACTATTGTTGATGTAAAGACTGATCAGAAATGTTACCGATGCAACTAACATGAAGAGCAGCCAGAAAGTCTTAGATTGAGTCCTGAAAAAGATACGAGCAGTATTGATTTACATTGTTGGGCTCAACAATTGAAGGAGCATAGAAGTTGCACAATATAATGTTTCTTTAGTGTTTATTGAACATAAACCGTCCTGACGTTTTATAATCATAGCATTTCTTAATGAACATTTGCAGACAATGATACCAACAACCCTTTCTGTTCTAACAACAACAACCACGACTTGCATTTATATAGCACCTTGCATCTGCAAGGTAGGGTCCCAGAGTTCCTCATCGGTAATCCTTACCTTTGATATCGCGCCTCTAAAAATAAATACTTTGGTCTACAGTAGGGTGGAGTGACTGTGTATCTTGTAGGCTGACTCGGCAGTTAATTTCCGCACAACAACATCCCACAAACAGCCCTGAAGTGAATGGTCAATTTAATCTGGGTATTTTTTTTGGCCAGGAAACCAATTTACTTAAATGACCTGAATTCGCGGACTGACTGTGAGGTTATATCGCACTCTTCACGTTAGGATAATATCCCGGAGTGCTTTACGGTGACTGGGTCAGGCGCTGAGCAAGGTAGGAGGAGGAGGAATGGGGAAAGTGACAAAAGGCATTGTCAAAGAAGTAGGTTTTTAAGTTTAAGAACTTGAAGAAAGATAGAGAGAGGACAAGCAAAGAGGTAGAGGCTCAGGAAGTGATGGGTTTAAACCCCACAGTGGAACTCCTTTAACTCCTATCCTAGGCTGTCATGACAGCAAACTCAGGAGAACCTATGCTATTTTTCCTTCCCGTCTTGAACTGCCTGATGTACTGGGGAAAGAAGCAAATGCACTGCAGAATTTCCTGTAGTTCCCCTATAAAATAAACAGTCACTACACTTCTATGATTCATCTTTGCCTGACTCCACCGGCTTCCCATCACACAGAGGATATAGTTCAAGATCCCGGTCCTCACCTTCAAAGCCCTCCATGGCCTCGCTCCCCCCACTTACCTCTGCGACTTCCTAACCCTCTACCGACCTTCCCGCTCCCTCCACCATTGGCGGTCGGGCCTTCTGCCACTCTGTCCCCACCTTCTGGAACTCCATTCTGGCAGTCCCTCCGCCTCGCCACCTCCCTTACCTCCTTCCAGACCTCTCTCAAGACCTTCCTCTTCAATCGTGCCTTCGGTCAGCCTCCTTCCCGCCTCCCTGATGCCAACCCCCAGCTCGGGTCCGAAACATTGATTGTCCAGCACCTTGGGATGTCCTCCCAACATGAAAGGCACTGCACAAATGTAATTTGTTAGGAAGCCCTTTGAGATGCCCTCCCGACATGGATCGCACCGCATCCGATGCAGCAAATGAACGATCCAACTGCTTGACCGGCTGCTGCCGCGCTTCACCCACAAGATACACAGTCAATTCACTTCATAGGACAACCTGTGAAGCGCTTCGAGACGTCTCGAAAACGTGATGACTTAACTGTACCAAACGCGAGGATTAACTGATTAACCATTGTAATTTTAACAAATGATTGCCTATGTGGGTTACCCTCCTCAGAAATTCTGCACAGACGCCGCTGGATACAGCGACCTTCGCTTGGCTCGGGGCTGAACCACTCACCTGATCGTCATCTTGCTGAGACTTACCCCCGCGGACTTGCCAGTGAGCGTGACAGAGCTCTCGACCTGGGTGCAGCCGCATTAAATGGCACCAGTTTTCCTTTGATTGGGTGGAACCGCCCTCCAGTAGTTGGGGTTCCAGCTAATCAGGACACCGTGTGCGGTGGGACCGGCCCTCGAATGGGTTCGGGAGTGAAAACCCTGGATCACAGGGTCGCCGTTCGGCGCCAGAGAAAGCCGGCGGCGGTGGGACACGGGACGCGGTGGGCGGGAAAGCCCTGAATTGCCCAGAGCTGCCGACGCATCAGATGAGACGCTGAACTGACGTCCCCTTATGCCCTAAATCGGGTGAACGTTAGTAATCCTCCAAAACCCCAAAACAATAATAAATCGGTCATTTTCAATCTACGACTGTTTGTGGGACATTGCTGTGCGCAATTGGCCGCCGCGTTCGCCCACAAATATACAGTCAATTCACTTTACAGTGTGTTCTGTGAAGCGCTTTGGGACGTCCTCTCCCGACGTGAAAAGCGCTATATCAAATGCAATGATTATTATTATTATTATATAACGTTAAAGATCCCACAGCACTCATTACAATAATAATAATAATAATCCCGGCCTTCCATACAGCGCCCGATCACGTCCTCGAGGCGCCTCAAAGCGCTTCACCGGATACACTGTGAACGGACTGTGTGTTTTGTGGCCGATTGGCGCCGCGCGACCCCCTCCCCCGCAAACAGCTGCGCACCCAAGTGACCAAACTCTTAGCATTTTTTTGGGGGTGGGGGGAGTGGGGGGGGGGGGGAGGAGGAGTGGGGGTGTGTCTGGGGTGTGTGTGGGGGTGTGGGGGGAGTGGGGGTGTGTGGGGGGGTTGGGGGAGGGGTGGAGGGTGTGTGGGGGGTGTGTGGGGGAGAGTGGGGGTGTGTGTGGGGGAGTGGGAGTGTGTGGGGGAGTGGGGGTGTGTGTGGGGGAGTGGGGGTGTGTGGGGGAGTGGGGGTGTGTGGGGGTGTGAGTGGGGTGTGTGGGGGAGTGGGGGTGTGTGGGTGTGTGGGGGAGGTGTGTGGGGGGAGTGGGGGTGTGTGGGTGTGTGGGGGAGGTGTGTGGGGGAGTGGAGGTGTGTGTGGGGGGGAGTGGGGGGGGGAGTGTGGGGGAGTGGGGGTGTGTGGGGGGGAGTGGAGGTGTGTGTGGGGGAGTGGGGGTGTGTGTGGGGGAGTGGAGGTGTGTGTGGGGGGGAGTGGGGGTGTGTGGGGGGGTGTGTGGGGGAGGTGGGGGGGTGTGGGGGGAGTGGAGGTGTGTGTGGGGGGGAGTGGAGGTGTGTGTGGGGGGAGTGGGGGTGTGTGTGGGGGGAGTGGGGGGGTGTGTGGGGGGAGTGGGGGTGTGTGTGGGGGAGTGGGGGTGTGTGTGGGGGGGAGTGGGGGTGTGTGTGGGGGGGAGTGGGGGTGTGTGTGGGGGTGTGTGTGGGGGAGTGGGGGCGTGTGTGGGGGGAGTGGAGGTGTGTGTGGGGGGGAGTGGGGGTGTGTGGAGGTGTGTGTGGGGGAGTGGGGGGGAGTGGGGGAGTGTGTGGGGAGTGTGGGGGTGTGTGGGGGAGTGGGGGGGAGTGGGGGGGAGTGGAGGTGTGTGGGGGGAGTGGGGGAGGTGGTGTGGGGGAGTGGGAGTGTGTGGGGGGGAGTGGGGCAGGTGTGTGGGGGGGAGTGGGGGAGTGTGTGGGGGGAGTGGGAGTGTGTGGGGGGAGTGGGGGAGGTGTGTGGGGGGAGTGGGGAGGTGTGTGGGGGGAGTGGGGCGGAGTGGGGGGGAGTGGAGGGTGTGGGGGGGTGTGTGGGAGGTGTGTGGGGGGAGTGGGGGTGTGTGGGGGGAGTGGGGGTGTGTGGGGGGAGTGGGGAGTGTGTGGGGGGGTGGGGGGGTGTGTGGGGGGAGTGGGGGAGTGTGTGGGGGAATGGGGTGTGTGGGGGGAGTGGGGGAGGTGTGTGGGGGGGAGTGGGGGTGTGTGGGGGAGTGGGGCGGAGTGGGGGGGAGTGGAGGTGTGTGGGGGGTGTGTGGGGGGAGTGGGGGAGGTGTGTGTGGGGGGGAGTGGGGGTGTGTGGGGGGAGTGGGGGGGGGGGTGGTGGGGGGAGTGGGGGGTGTGGGGGGGAGTGGAGGTGTGTGGGGGAGTGGGGGTGTGGGGGGGAGTGGGGGGTGTGTGGGGGGAGTGGGGGGAGTGGGGGGAGTGGGGTGTGGGGGGAGTGGGGGTGTGTGGGGGGAGTGGGGCGGAGTGGGGGGAGTGGGGGGGTGTGTGGGGGGAGTGGGGGGAGTGGGGGGGAGTGGGGGGTGTGGGGGGGAGTGGGGTGTGTGTGGGGGGAGTGGGTGTGTGGGGGGAGTGGAGGTGAGTGGGGGGAGTGGGGGTGTGTGGGGGAGTGTGGGGGAGTGGAGGTGTGTGGGAGGGGTTCGAAGGGATTATTTTCTCGCGGTGAACCCCACCGACTGAGGGCGGGTTCCCATTTTGCCGCCCGGACCCTGAGGCGCGGAGGGAGGCGGCGGCCCCGACACTTTGTTGGCAAATACGCGGTTGGGAGACGGGAAATATCCGGCGCCCCTCTCCCCCTCCTCCCCCTCTCCCCCCCCCCCACTCCCCTCTCCCCTCACCCCCACCTTTTGGGGGTACGGAACGGGGGGGAATTCGACAGCTCGAGCCGACGGTGTCCCCTTTAAGGGAAAGGCTTTGGGAACCGCGGCACTGACAGCACGTGGGCCCTGACCTGCGCGCGCAGCTCCGTGGAGCCCCCCCCCCACCCTCGGAGCCGAGCGCGCGCGGAGCCGAGCGAAGCCCCTCCCCCCGCCCCCCCCCCCCACCCCACCCCCGAGTGGCCGAGCAGCGGCCCGAACGGTGCCCCGAGTGCAGCGCCGAACTCAGCCGAATGGAATCCGAGCTGCTCGGGCGCCCTCGGGAACCTTCGGCTCCCTCCTCGGCAGTTGGCCCAAGTCGGGGCGGGGAATAAAAACCGCCGCCGCCGCTGTTGTGGTTGTTGTTCGTTCGTCCGTCCGTCCGTTCGCCTCAAACGTCGCGCCTTCTCCCGCCGGCGTTACCTCACGCTGATCCTCCCCGCGGGCGGGCGGGCGGGGGGGGGGGCGGGCGGGCGGGGGGCGGGAGGGGGGGGGCGGGGAGACGCGCCGCCCCCGTCTTGCTTGATGAGGGACCTTTTCGAGTCGGCCTAGCAAGCCGGTCCCATGGTGTAATGGTTAGCACTCTGGACTTTGAATCCAGCGATCCGAGTTCAAATCTCGGTGGGACCTCACTTTTGTGACAAAACTATTTAACGCCAAATAAAAAAAAATAACCCCCAAAAAAAATATATATATATATATATGTGTATTAATAGGGACCAAACACTCTCTGGGTTTGTCCATCCAAAAAAAAAATATAGGTATTTCTTTTATTTACGACAGCGATGTGTTTTTTACCGGAACCCTCAGACGACGGGAAATCCGCACCAAACATCGATTTTTTTTACATCGGATTCATTCGTTCGTTCATTCATTGATTAACTGATCGATTCGGGAATTACGTTATCGACCTAATACGATACCCGACTACGTTTAGGTTTTTTTTTTAAATGAACGGACGGATGAAAAGACGTGAAAAACCCCTTTCGGAACGTCTGTCGAGTAAAAATAATAATAATAATAATAATAATAATCCTTGCATTTGATATAGCGCTTTTCACGTCAGGAGGACGTCCCAAAGCGCTTCACAGAACACACTGTAAAGTGAATTGACTGTATATTTGTGGGCGAACGCGGCGGCCGATTGCGCACAGCAATGTCCCACAAACAGTCGTGGATTGAAAATGACCAATTTTTTTTTATTATTGTTTTTTGGTTTTTTTCGGAGGGATTGTTATTAGGCGGTCGGCGCACTTTGGCGATGATAAGTTTCGTCGTCATTGTCGTCGTTATTATTGGTAATTAATAATTGACGCCGTCCCCGCGCGTCGACGCGACCCCCCGGCGTCTCAAAGCGCTTCGCGGGGTACACCGTGAAGTGCGGTGACTGTGTCTCCCGCGGGCACCTGCGCCGCCGATCGAGCGATCCAATTATCATTATTATTATTATTATCATCATTATTATTTAACGACTTAGAAGGGATTATTAACCGCGAAAGGCGATCCTCTGTAAAATCCCGGGAGGGGCTTTGCGACGCCCTGACCCGCTGCGAGTCCCGGAGGGAAAGGCAGAGAATTGGTGATAATTCTCCGCGATCGTCTTACGCTTCCTGGAGACCCGTCGTCGGGAGCTCTGTTGACGGAGCTTCTCCACGTGTTCGTTCGGGAAGGTTTCTGGACGTCTCCCCCCCCCGTGATGCCCTGCACCACGTGCCTTCGATCCGATTTCCCCCACAAAACACCGACTGCGTCACAGTATATCCCGTGAAGCGCTCGGCGGCGTCTCAGTGACGAGATAAGGCGCTCTGTCAAATGCAAGGATTATTATTAATTATCATTGCGACACGTTTCAACATCGTCTTCTGCGTCCCATGAAAGGATTCCTGTATTATATACGGATTACAACCGGATCTTTTGCCCAAACCAAAACTGGATGGTGGGCGTAAAACTTGTGCGTTGCGACACGGACGCCATTAATCGCGCTTTCTTTGGACGACGTTAATCCGAGTTCCCATCTCCGGCAGATAAAATTAATCGCACTTCATGACCTTTTGTGGGACTGGTTGCAAATCGGCTGCTGTGTTTGTCTACGAAAGAAACCTCACTGTACAGCAAATCACGTGAAGCACTTTGACGCATCTCGACAACGCGTTAAGACGCTATATCAAATGCGAGGTTTATTACTTACGACACACGTGTAAACTTACCGCAGCGCATTGCGTGATTAAAATTCACCGAAAACATTAAACGATAATTCGTGCATTCACATAAAGTCGGTGGGAAGAAAGCAATTAAATTACTCCCGGCACAGAGTTCACGTGGTAATAAAAAGTCTGCAAAAAGTTTTAAATCAGACGGTTTTATTTCTTTCTCTCAAAATGAGACAGTTTGACATTGTTACCCCAATTGAACTAACCGCAGCCGTAACGCCTTTGGCAGACGCGGCATAAGGGAACTGGACAAGTTTTGCGGCGCGTAGACTTCGTGAGTCTTCCCGATACGTTCGAGATCCTTGTGCAAGTCAAAAGGAAAACAATCTGTCCAGTCCCAGGATAAGCCATGAACCTCGCAGCTTTTTCCAGCATCGGATGATTTTCTCCCTACCTCTCTCCGGACAGCCTCAGCCGAGATCGGGAACCTACCGTGAAGCCAACCACGCAGTTTCACACGACATCTCACCGTGCCCAGAATGGGAAAAAAAAAGAAACCCAGATTTAGAATCGTTTAGAAACGAGAATTATGGAGGAGCGTTTTTGAGACTTCTGACGTTCAAGGCACTAAACCACGTTCTTCCCTTCCAGAACTTCCAGCGATTTACCCGCTCCAAATATTTTGCTCCGAGTCGCCGTTTTAGAAGAAAATACGGTCTTTCGCAGCTCACGCTAAAAAAAAAACCCACGACCCTTGCGCAGCGCCGCCTCAGACTGGACTCGACTTCAGTGGGGGAGAAAAATAAAGCTTTCTGCAAGAACGCAGAAACGGCAGCCGCGACCCCTCGCCGCGAATGACCGGTCAGCGGTCACTATTTTCTCTTCAGTCTAATCTCTCGATGTACTTCTCAGTCATTTTCGGGACGAATAACTGCAGGAAGTGAAAGAATTCGGGAAATAGCGCGGTTTGCTGCAGAGGCGTGACCCGGATCACGGTCCTGGTATCCCCGTTGCCTCCGACCAGAAAGACAACGAGCTGGACTTCGAACAGCGGGCTGGGCTTCGCCTCGTTCCCTTCCTGTCGCAACATGGCGTCGGTAACCTTCTCTTCGAGGTCTAAGACGCCGGGGTTGTCGCTCGTCTCTGCGTCAGCTTTGTTCGGGCTTCTGTAGAGCTGGCGCCTCATTTTCCTGCGCCCGACCCAGACTTTGTTCCAAACGGAGCAGTGCCACCTCACCTCCCCCTGGTACCTCAGGCCGCCCAGCCTTGGCTTCTTAGGCGCTGAAGTTCCCGCTAGCTCCTCGGCCTCGCACGGCCTCTTCGATCCGGAGCAAATCTCCTCCTCAAAACCCTCGTCCTCTTTCTCGTCCACCGCGTCGAGGCTTCGGTCCGCTCCACCGGCTGTGTCGTCTCCTTCGCCGCTCTGACCGAAGCAACTGCATTTGAGGACAGACTCCATGACGTACAGGACGGCGTGACACACTTTGTCAAACCAGACCTCCCTGAAGTCCAGAGAGCCGTGAAGGCTTTTTCTCGTTTGCTCAGAGAGGGCCGACAGCTTGAAGGGGATAGTTAACACGTTCTCACTGCAAGTCGATTCTTTACCTTGGCCTTGATCCACTGCTGGGGAGGAGGCGGGTGAGCAGTCAGCGCTGCTCAGAGGCTGAAACAATCTGACGATGCCCCACATTTTGCCCTTGTTGGATTTCCTCTGGAATTGCAGGCTGCGGCAGTACTTGAAAGCCTCGTCGCTCTGCCTCTTGAACCTTTGCCCTGATCTCTCGTTGATGTTTCCAGCCACGTTGTGACTCAGTTCAAAGGGATCCTGGATATTAATCGGCCCAAATTTGAGGTGTCTGTGTGAATCGGGTTTAATGAACTCTGTTACAGGCCGGGCTTTGCCCTCTCTCAGAGAAATAACAGTTCCGGCAAAGTCAAACTGCGCGTACAATTTAAAAAAGTCTGCAAGGAGGACACCTATTGGGAAACGATAAATGATTAGGCTTCCAATACTTACATTCATACTGCATCCTTCATGCACCCGCCCACCATTGGCGGGCGGGCCATCTGCCACTCTACTCCCACCCTCTGGAACTCTATCCCGCAGTCCCCCCGCCTCACCCCCTCCCTTGCCTCCTTCAAGACCCGTCTCAAGACTACTCCTCCTTGCCCGTGCCTTCGGTCACCCTCCCCGATCCTGACCCCCAGCTCGGGTCCGAAACACTGATTGTCCAGCGTCTTGAGACGTCCTCGTGACATGAAAGGAGCTACACAAATGTAATTTTGTTGTTGCTGTACATTGCAGGCTAGTCTCCTGAGTACTTTCACGGCACTGAAACAAAAGCTTGGCGCACTGGTTTGTTTTAATGTTTAAAAAGAAACCGTTCGGTATAAAATTCGGGAGCAGCTGAATACTTACACAAGCTTTCAGAATTTTCACTGGCGTCCACTTTGCTTGGATCATTCAGAAATGTGCAATCCCAACCGTCAATTATACAGTGATCTTCACCTTCTCGATAAAGAGAACAGTTTGCCATTTACTAAAAGGTTGCACACATTACAATAGTTCTCAAAAGTGTCAATTAAATAAAAAACGCACAGACTCTAATTTAATAAAAAAGCTCCCATTTCACACCCGTAGCGGAATATTCCACCTCGTGTTAAGCTGTTAGAACATCCCGCCCAACTGCAAACAATTCTTTAAATTAGACTTGATTTAGACACCACGCTTCTGGGCCTCAATCAATATGTTTAATTTAAAGCAATTGGAATGCACAGCCTGAAAGGACGATGGAAACCGATTCAATAACGACTTTCAAAAGGGAATTGGATAGGTACTTGAAAAGGAAAATTTTGCAGGGGGTTTAGGGAAATAGCGGGGAGTGGGACTGATTGAGGTAGCACTTCCAAAGAACAGGCATAGGCACGATGGGCCTCTTTCGGTGCTGTAACATTCGATGATTCTATAATATACTGCATTTTTTAATGATTATTTCCTGGGATTGCAAAGGCCCAACAAGTGCCACGTTGCAAGCAGTTTCGTGCTGTTTGCCAAAATCTAATATGATTTGCTGAATAATCCTTACAAGCAACAATGAGAAAGTTTTCACCCCATCGATTCAAACCCAGTCTCACAAATTAAAAGAGCTCAAATAGTGTTCCAGCTCTCATTTTTGTTCCTGTTGTATTATTACTTTTCTATCATTAGGTGCTGCTGTCTTGTCCCGCTGTGCGTAATTGGCTGCTGTGTTTCGCCCACAAAATACAGTCAATTCACTTTACAGTATATTCTGTGAAGCCCTTTGAGGCGGCTTGAAGATGTAATAAGGCTCGAAACCTATTTCAAGGACTATTATTATTTATCATAGGTTTTACTGATGTGCTAAGTTTACGAAGCCTGCATTCGGTAGATCAGTACAAGCTCTGTTACCTGCGAGCTCTTTTAAATGGTTCACAGTCGGGAGAATGGCAGGCGTCCTGTTCTGAAGGAAAAAAACGACCAAGAGTGTGACTGCATAATTATTCAGCAATGGTCCTCCTCCAAAGGGATTCCCTAAGACAAGAGAGGAAAAGAAAGAAATAAGGTGTAAATTCTAGATAATTACTTTTTGAAGGTTTTCTTCAATAAGAAAAGATGTCAGGTTTCAGTCTTGCTCAGATGATAGCACTCTGGGGTTGCAGCCAACACCCCCCCCCCAACCAGCCCACAATCCCAACCCGCCAAATAAAACCGGTCGTTCTCGTCAAGCCTGTGAGAATTGGTTGCCACATCCCACAAAATACAGAGTAATTACACTTTACCGTAGACACTGGAACGTTTTGAGATGCCTCCCCCGACATGAAAGGCACAGTATCATATGTAAGGAATATTAGTAAATTATTATATTGAATCTCAGTCGTCCACAAAAAGCATTAAGATGATGATATGAAAATAGCTGATCTCACGATGGGAATTAGTGAACCACCCAATACATCCCGAGGATGAGATTATTGATGGAAAGCTTTTGTCCTCTAGAGATTCCTGCAGCTCAGTGGTTAGAGCATTCGCCTCCCAAGCAAGAGACCTGTGTTCAATTCCCAGGTGGGTCAGGGCAAAACGTTGGGCAAGTTTCCTTACTCCTCACGCCTCTGTTTACTTAGCAGTAAATAGGAACTCGGTTGTTAGTCGATTGGCGGATCGCTTTCAATCCTTCAATTGGTCACTTCAATCCATGACTGTTTGTGGGGCCCCGCTGTGCGCAATTGGCTGCCACATTTCGCCCACAAAAATATAGTCAATTCACTTTACAGTATATCCTGTGAAGCGCTTTGACACGTCTAGAAGACGTGATAAGGCGCTGTATCAAATGCAAGGATTATTATTATTCTTACACAGGAGATAAAAAGTGATACCTTACCAGCGAGCTGCTTCTGCTTTGCCCAGTGACGAACGGCATAAACCAGAGGCCTCACCCTTTGGTCCACCGAAGAGCACAGCTGAAGGAATTTTGTGTTGCGTACAGCTAACCTGGAAAACCAATTCACCAAGTTATCCCAAGCAAAATTGGTTACAGGTGCTCATAAGACATCTTTCCGCGATCAAGGTGGCAGGTCCGTAGATCGCCGCTGATACCACTGAGATTGATTTATAAAGCGGAGGAGGCAGCTAAGATGTTACAAGGAAGCTCAAACGTATGACTAATATCTGAAGTCACTAATTGCTACCATGGTTTGATTCCTGCAGTGTTTGTTGTCTCCTGTTTCGCTCTTCCATCCCCTCTATTTCTCCCTGTAGCGCAAAGTTTTGCACGTCCATCAACCCCCACCCTTGCCATTCTCCACTGTGTCCCAACCGACCAACGACATGACCCTTCTACTTGGTAAACTAGGGCCGGCTGTGCATCCCCTGTGCCATCATTGGTGGCTGGCCTTCAGTCACTACACCCACACCCAATGGAACTATCTCCCTCAATCCCTCCAGCTCTATTTTCAGAAGCTGACTAAAAAACGATCTCTTCAACGGGGCCCAAACTCATCCACCAGCTCATGGCCTGGGTCTGTCTACGTAAAACACTTACGAGACGTTACCCTTCGTGAAGGGCACTGTACAAATGCAAGTTGTTGCTGTTAATGCTACAGCCAGGTCAGGTAAAACACAGGTCAGATACCCAGTGAAGTGCTGAGGCAACCAGCCAGGTCAACTATGAATGATTGCTAAACTGCAGGTAAGTCTGGATTGACGACGCTCCTAATTACTGCCTCATTTTATTGCGAGTTTCCTTGAAAGATTAACAACCCAACGTCATGTGGCTTCATTCATTGTTGAATGGGATTCGCAAATAGGATGGAAAAATATAGTTCCTGAAAGCAGGAGTGACTCATTGGCAATTAAGTCTTGAATACTCCTGGAAACAGTCCACACAGTTAGGTTTTGTTGGAAATATGACAAAGACGTACTGTACAACCTGTGTTGCGTTTCTTTTAACCTGTGGAGCAGTCCAACTGACCCATGAAAGGCCTGTGACCAAGACAACAACAACAACAAGATTACATTTGTATAGAGCCTTTCATGTCGGGAGGACGTCCCAAGGCACTGGACAGAGTACAGCATTTCAGACCCGAGCTGGGGTCGGGGTGGGGAGAAGGGAGGGGAGGGGAAGGGGGGTGGCCGATGGCATGGTCAAAGAGGAGGGTCTTGAGGCGGGACTTGAAGAAGGCTAAGCAGGAGGCAAGGCGGAGTGATTGGGGGATGGAATTCCAGAGGTTGGGGGCAGAGTGGCTGAAGCCAGTGGGGCGGGTGGGTTGGGGGACAAATCTGCATTGCCGTCTGCCTCTTCCCTTCTACCCTCCCTGCCTCCTGATCCCAACCCCCAGCTCACATCCAAACCCCTGACTGTCCAGGGTTTTGGGACGTCCTCCAGACATGAAATTTATTACATTTATTCAGCGCCTGAGGGGTGAGGCAGCGGCGAAGTCTGGCAATGTTGCGGAGGTGGTGGTAGGCAATGCCGGACATGGTGCGGATGTGGGGGAGAAAGGACAGCTGTTTGCTGGGCACCCAAGCCGGGGGGGGGGGGGGGGGGAGGGGGTGGGGGGGAGCTGGAGAGATTGGGGAGGAGAAAGATGACGGAAAGCACAGTCAAAGAGATAAGTCTTGAAAGCAGGGAGGGGAAGTTCCAGAGAACGAAAGCTCGCCCACCAACGGTGGGAATGGGCAGAGGATGGGACATGAAGCAGGCCAGTGTTTGCTGAGTTAGCATTTTCAGGAGACAATCAGCCGGAGAAGCGCTGGAGCTTTAATAAACATTGTCTCTGAACTCGGACTGACTGCCTGCGATGACTCGACCAGGCAGCGTATGGTTAAAAGGCACGATTACCGTAACTGAATCCAACAGTGCAATGCAAAGGCACAGTTACACTTTAATTACAAAATGCTTTGATTATATTTTAAGAATTCCCATTTTTTCTTATTACTTCAGACTTATAATTTAATAATGATCCTTGCATTTGGTATAGCGCTTTATCACATCTTTGAGACGTCTCAAAGCGCTTCACAGAACATATTGTAAAGTATGTTCCTGCTGTTGCCCCTTATCTACCCCCAACTGGGCTGCAACTCTATCCTTGTGATACATTTTCGTAGGTGAAAGGTGCAAGTTATTGTTTTATTTCCAGTCTACCTGTCCATGCAAGGAAACGTGCCCAAAGTATCGCTCTGCCCGGGAATCGAACCCAGGTCTCTCGCTTGCAAATATTTGAACAACACTCCTGATAATAATCCCTCAAGAGAAAAAAAAGTCACAATAATAAACCGGTCACTTCAATCCACGACTTATTTGTGGGGCACCACTTTGCGCAATTGGCTGCTTCGTTTCACCCACAAAATATGCAGTCAATTCACTTTCAGTATATCCTGTGAAGCGCTTTGAGACGTCTCGAAGGCGTATCAAATGCGAGGATTATTGTTATGGCAGGAATCAAGAAATATTCAATTAAGAAAAAAACAGAAACATGCCATCGATTTTAAAACAGACTCGCCCTTATGACCGCAAATGTTCGGCAGGCCACTTTTTGACGACGACAACAACAGCTTGTGTTTATATGGCACCTTTCACGCTGGGTTGTGTCCCAAAGGGCTTTTCAGCGGCTTAGCCACCACTGAGCAAAATGCCACGTTCATTAATATTTTAAACACTGCAACACTCGACTGACTTCCTCCATTTTTCAAACACGTACAGCAAACAAAAAAAATCACAGATGGGTTATGAATATGCCTTTTAGCTGGTGTACGTGTGTGATATATATATAGATATGCATAAATAAATAAGGTACCTATTGTTAATAGAGATGTCTCCTTGCAACCCTGATTCCTTGTGGATAAATTTAACCACCGGTAGCCTGGCCGTGGTGACGGCCTGAACTTTGTGAACGCCTGGAACACACTTCTGCAGCACAGTGGCCACTAACTCGAGGATCTCAGCTGGAGTCGAAGTCTCCAGGTCGATGTCAGACAAGATGGAATCCTCAGAACGGGTGTCTGACTGTATGTCACTTTCGGCTCCTTGAACTCCCTGCAACGGCGCAAAGCACACTCATGACTTCAGCGCCCGTGTGGCAGCTCTTAAAAAGGAATCCAAAGCCTAGAGGGAGGACTTATTAATGGATTTGCCACTAAAAATAGAAAAAAAAAATGAAACTCAACATCTCTTCCGAGAAATTGAGGAAACATGGCCTTAAAAATCCTTGCATTTGACCTAGCGCCTTCTCACGACTTCCGAGACGTCTCAAAGCGCTTCACACAATGTACTGTAAAGTCAATTGACTGGATATTTTGTGGGTGAAACTCGGCAGCCGATTGCGCACAGCAGCGTCCCCACAAACAGCGCTGAGGGTATTGAGTGACCAAATATTTTTTTCAAAAAAAAGGGATAATTAAAGCGATCCGCCAATCGACTAACAACCGGGTTCCTACTTACTGCCGGTAAACAGAGGCGTGTGGAGTAAGGAAACTTGCCCAACGTTTCGCCCTGGCCGGGAATCAAACCCAGGTCCTCTTGCTTACGAGGCAATCGCTCGAACCACTGAGCTACAGGACTCCACGTGGGTTAATGACTTTAACCCATGTGTGGCAGCCTTGGAAAAGGAAACCAAAGTCTAGAGGGAGGACTTAAAACATATTTTCACGAAAAATAGAAAAGAAAATTGAAACCTTTATACCTCCTAGAGATTGAGCAAACATGGGCTTTATCTATATGTGTATATTATATATAGAACCCACAAGTTATGGGTAGAGCGAGAGCTGCTCCTGGGTTTGTCTCTGGATTGTGACTGAAGCTGATCGAGAGTCTGCCCACACACTCCATCTTAGAGACCCCCAGCCCGGCCTCTCCCACCCTCCCACCTTTGGAGACACCACCTCCACCCCAAGATCTTTCTGTTCGACAGAGAAATCTTGGGAGATCTTGGAGTGAAGTCCTGTAGTACAATGGTTAGAGCTCACGCCTCACAAGCGACAGGATGTGGGTTTGATTCCCAGTAGGGCGAAACAGCCTAAAAACCTGATGTCAATACTTTCAGGAAAAAAGAATGAATTAGAATAAGGGAGAAAGGTAAGGTTGCTCTGTGGGGCATCCATCCATCATTGTAATTGTTTCACCTGCCTTGACACTGTTCCAATTAAAGGAAATCAGCACAATGTACCAGGTGATGTCCAAACCACAGCTAAAAATAAACACCTATTCTAGGAAGAGTGAATGTACAACAGGAAGTTTCATTCCTCTTGTTCTAAACATTTTAAACGTGGAGTCCTGCAGCTCAGTAGTTAGAGCACTCACCTCGCAAGCGAGAGACCCGGGCAGGGCGAAACCTTGGACAAGTTTCCTTACTCCATTCGCCTCTGTTTACCTAGCAGTAAGTAGGAACCCGCATGTTAGTCGATTGGCGGATCGCTTTTCCGGGGATAGTAATTCCTTAATAAAAGTCACTCAATCCACGACTGTTTGTGGGACACCTCTATGTGCTGCCATGTTTGGCCCACAAAATATACAGTCTATACGATTCATAGTATATTCTGTGAAGCACTTTGAGACGTCTAGAAGACGTGATAAGGGGCTATATCAAATGCATGTATTATTATTATTTTCCATCGTATTCCATTAATGCGAGCTCAAGAGAGAATCTTTTAACATGTCCACGGTTGAGATGGTGAATATATAGGTGCTAGTCTTAGACATTATGCAGGTTGTCACACGTGGAACTTACTTCAGTCTTTGCCTCCGTGGCAGTGGCCTGGAAAGTCTTTGTGTTTTCAAGATCGAGGAATAAATCCATGTCACAGCCGCGAACGTCAAAGGTATTCACCGATGATCCAAAGGGCAGGATTTTGCAACCTGAGTAAAAGCAACAGTTAGCCACCAACCAACCTCTACTGACCTGCCTTGAACTCACAGTAAATCAAAATTACAATCCGTGGAGAAACTATCAATAGTTTGCAACAGCATCTGTGAAATAACACAGTGCTCAATCCGTCACTCCACTTTATAGTAAATCCCGTGAAGGGCTTTGAGACGTCTCGATAACGTGATCAGGCGCTAAATCAAATGCAAGGCTTATTATTATTAACTACTGCAACAGATTCAACCAACCTACTAGAAGAGTTTATAAGGAAGGAAGGTGTATGGGGGCAGAAGGGGAAGAGTCACTGAAGAGACGGCAATATGAAGCAGGGAATTAAGGACTGGATATGAGTGGGGAGGGCTACCGGCTACCGGACTGTTTATGGGGCTACGGGGAGAATTAAGAGAATGGGGGTTATTGAGAGACTGACCGGTAAAAACAGACCACATTATACGGACCATTCTGCATTGCACACTTCTTAAAGATCCCATAACACCCCGTGAAGACCACTGACCTGGGAAGAACTCGGAGAAGACCTCCTGCATCAGAGACATGAGCAGCTCTCGCAGGCTCCGCTCGCTGTCCGAGAACTGAAACAACTGCAACAATTGCTGCAGCTGCTCATCAACCTATCAGACAACACGTATAGTTAATCGTTAGATATAATAACCCTTGCATTTGATATAGTGCCTTATCACGTCTTCGAGACACCTCAAAGCGCTTCACAGAATATACTGTAAAGTGAATTGACTGAATATTTGTGGGCGAAACGCAGCAGCCAATTGCGCACAGCAGCGTCCCCACAAACAGTCGTGGATTGAACATAAGAACATAAGAATTAGGAGCAGGAGTAGGCCATTCGGCCCTTCGTGCCTGTGCTCCGCCATTCAATAAGATCATGGCTGATCTTCTCACCTAACTCTGATTACCTGCCCTATCCCCATATCCCCTAATACCTCTATTTTTCAAGAATCTATCAGTCTCAGACTTGAGAATGTTCATGGACTGAACATCTACAGTTTAGTCTCCCGGTTTATTTTGGCTAAATCCTCTCTCATACCAGCAAAGTTGGCTCGAGTTAAATTGAAGACTTTTGCTTCAGACTTAACTACTTCCCTCTCTAACTTAACGCTAAATTCCATCATATTATGATCGCTTTGCTCGAGAGGAGCCTTAAGTTCCAGTTTGCTGATCAGCCCTGTTTCATTACACAAAACAAGGTCTAATATGGCTTGTTCCCTGGTCGGCTCCTCAGCATATTGATCTAGAAAATTATCTCTAATACATTCTATAAACTCCTCTTCTATGTTACCTTTCCCAATTTGGTTGTCCCAGTCTATGTGCAGGTTAAAATCACCCACAATTAGTGTCTTTCCTTTGCTACATGCTCCACTAATCTCTTGATTTATACCTTGAGCGATACTTTGACCACTGTTTGGGGGTCTATAAACTACTCCCACTATAGTTTTCTGCCCCTTGAAGTTACGTATCTCTACCCATACTGACTCTACATCTTGCTTTTCAGATTTAAAATCTTTCCTCTCTACTGTTTTTATCCCATCCTTTATTAGCAGGGCCACTCCCCCTCCTCGTTTACCACATCGCCTATCTTTCCTATATACCACGTAGCCGGGAATATTCAGTTCCCATCCCTGATCACCCTGTAACCATGTCTCGGTGATGGCTACTAGATCATACCGGTTTGTCTCTATTTGTGCAACTAATTCATCTATCTTGTTACGAATGCTTCGTGCATTCAGATATAGTGCCCTTAATTCTGACTTCCGGCTATTAACCCTATTCACCAGCACTCTATCACTGTACTTCCTTTCCCGGCTTGACACACTTTGCTCTTCTCCCTTGTTAATCTGCTCTCTTGCTTTTGTTGATCTCAAGTTTAACTGTGGTGGACTATACTTTACTATGTTTTTACCTCCCCCCCCCCCTTAGTAGTTTAAAGCCCTTTCTACCTCCCTATTTATTCGTGTAGCCAGGACATTTGTCCCAGCCCTATTTAGGTGGAGCCCATTCCTTTGGAAAAGCTCCCATCTTCCCCAATACTCGTGCCAGTGGCCCATGAATTGGAATTCCTGCTCTCCGCACCACTCTTTTAGCCAGGCATTCAGATCTATGATCTTCTTTTGCCTGTACCAATTAGCTCCTGGCTCAGGTAACAGTCCCGATATCATCACTTTGGAAGTTCTATTCCTTAGTTTAATTCCCAATTCCCGGAACTCGCTCCTTAACTCGTCCCTACTGGTCCTACCAATGTCATTGGTCCCTATATGTACCATTACGATTGGATCCTCTCCCTCATGCCTCAAATTTATCTCCAGCCCGGCGGTGACATCCTTCACCCTGGCCCCAGGAAGACAACAGAGTCTTCTTGTCTCCCTGCTACGGCTACAGAAAACTGTATCAGTCCTCCCGACTGTCTCATCCCCAATAAGAATTACATTTTTAACCTCCTGCACAGGGGTGTTGGGGTCAGTTTGCCCGTCTTCCTCGCAGATTTCCTTGTCCACACAGGTTGCCAATATTTCATACCTGTCAGACAAGGCTAAAGTCTGGGATTCTTCAGCCCCTCTCTTTCGGGAACGCTTGCCTGCCCGCCTGACTGTCACCCAGTCATGTCCGTCGCTGCTACATTCTTCTTCCTTGGGACTCAGGGGAGTGTCCGGCTCCAGGATAAAGCTGTCCAGGAAGTTTTCTCCATCCCTAATGCTGCGCAGCGTCTTCACCTGAGACTCCAGCTCAGCTACTCTCACTGGAGCTCTCTGATTTCCAGATACTTGCGGCAGACGAAGTCGCCCGGACTTAAGGCCCCTTCCATTGACTCTCACATGTGACAGACCTCGCAGTTTACCTGTCACACCATCTTCACAAACTTTATATAGATACAAAGATATATAGCCTGCCCCCACTTCCCCCTCTGCATCTAATTCCCACTCTCACCAAATTCCCTCACACTCTGGCCTCGCCTCACACCGGATGTAGCTCACTCTGGACTCTCGGCTCGAAGTGACCAATTTATTATTAGATAATATACTTTTTTGAAGGTATTATTACCCATGAAAAAACGATCCGCCAATCAACTAACAACCAGGTTCCTACTTTCTGCTAGGTAAACAGAGGCGTGTGTGTGGAGTAAGGAATCTTGCCTAAGGTTTTGCCCTGCCCGGGAATCGAACCCCAAGGTCCTCACGCTTGCGAGGCAAATGCTCTAATCACTGAGCGACAGGACTCCACAAACAAATCCACTTTTTTTAACAGACTAGCGACACTCCAGAGTACTCACGTCAGCAGCTCCGCAGAGAATCTGCGACAGTTCTTCGAAATTAATCAGTTGCTTTTTGCCGGGCGCCTGCTTCTTTTTGGGGACGTATTTGAAGTCTTTCTTTTCTCTGGCCTTCACTCGCAGCTTTTGGCCGTTCATACAGTGCTGGGACACAGACAGCACCCTTTTCACTTCTTCTGTGCTGTCCATCTGTATAATTGCATAGATGCCCTGCGGATAGCAAGCAAGGGAACTGCATGAGAGTCTAACGAAGTAAGAGTTTTTTAATGATGAACAACTTAAAAAAAAACTAATATAAAACAAAAGTATCAAGTTAAACAGTGTGCGTGCACAGTAATTAATGCAATTTCTCCCCCGCCCCTCCCTTAACTTGACTTTTGCTTAGTACAAGATATCACAAGGAATACCTGATAATAGCTCCCAAACCAAACACTGACCAGTTTTCAACCGCCTGCAGTATGTGGGTCTCGAGTGTGGTTTGGTGGGCAAGTTTTCAGCCGTTCTCTGGAACTCTATCCAATGGCCACCCCGTTTATTCGAGTCCAGTAAAACTCACGCAAGTTGTTATCAGTCGTGACCGTAACATTTAATATGATTTGCGCGAAGTGCCGAGTTGCGGGCAAATTTGCACAAGTCGTATAATATCTGATTTAATCAATAATCCACACTGCGCAAGCGTAAACCCACACACCCGGTAAGTGCGGACGCAGTAGTTCGTTGTCAGACTCCGCCACTGTGAGGCTCTCCGGGAAGCTACCCCACGTGAAGGGCGCTGTAATAAATGCAAGCTGTTGTTGTTGTTCGTGACCGCGGCCGGCAAGTGCACAATCCGTGAGGGGGTCAAGATTAAATTTCCCGCGATTCAATGCAACCAGCTGGTAAGTGTGCATGCGGTGACAGGTCAGGAGCTTCAATGCAGCCGGTAAGTGCTGTAACGGCCTTACAAATTATGAGATGATTTCCTTTATAAAATAAGGACGAGTGCAATAAAATCTAAGTGTTTTTTTTTGGGAAGGCGACTGAACAGGACTCAGATACACGTACAACTTGGGTGACTGTAATAATCCTTGCATTTGATACAGCGCCTTATCACGTCGAGACATCTTAAAGCGCTTCACAGGATATACTGTAAAGTCAACTGACTGCATATTTTGTGGGTGAAACGCGGCAGCCGATTGCGCACAGCAGCGTCCCCGCAAACAGTCGTGGATCGAAGCGACCAATTTATTTATTTTTTTGCAAAGGAATTATTACCCCCGGAAAAGCGATCCGGCAATCGACTAACAACCGGGTTCCTACTTTTACAATTGATAAAAGATTTATGTGAGTATCACTGTAGTGAGAAGAATGAAAAACTAGGAGCAAGAAGTCCTTATGCCCTAAAAACTGTTCCTTCTGGTCCATTAGCTCTCTTTTGTGCCTCGTTTCGGGGACTATTCCACACGTTTACGATTCTTTACAGTTCATTGTAGCCCTTAAGTAATCTTCAGGATATCCTCTTGATGTGAAAGACGCTATACAAATATAATTTCGTATTGTACTGTGTGTCAAATTGCACTTACTTTGTCCTTGTCCATTATTATGCTTGCGACTGTGCCAAACGTTTGAAAGTAGTCACTGAGTTCCAGTTCGGGTGTGCCTTTACGGAAACCGCTCACAAACACGCTGTTTTCTTCCTGCAGCTTCCTGGTGGCTCTCACACTCATCAGTTTCTGATGCTTTTTTCCTTTAAGGTGACTCTCTAAACTGGGAGCTATATATGTGTAAATACATTAAAAAAAACACACGCAATTAAAAAGAAAAAAAGGCCGCAACTGCATCAGGAAAGACACCCGCCATCTATCTCTCCTCTGCTTTACGCAGTACAACCCGACCAGTCTCCTTTTTGATTGTGCCTATGGTCCCCTCCCCTCCCCTCCCCACTCCCTCTCCCCTTGGCTCGGGATCACCCGGGGTGGAGGGCGCTATGTGAATGCAAGTTGTCGTTGTTGTCACACTTGCTCCAACCCTGTGAACACTTAAAACGTTTTCTTCACATTTTCTTCAATGTATTTGTTCCAAACTTCTGACTTAACGTTGCTCTTTTGTGTGTGTGTGTGAGTGGGGGGGAGGGTGTGTGGGGGGGAGGGTGTGTGGGGGGGAGTGTGGGGGAGTGTGTGTGGGTGGGAGTGTGGGGGGGAGGGGGTGGGAGTGTGGGGGGAGGTGTGTGTGTGAGGGGGGAGTGTGTGTGGGGGGAGTGAGGGGGGAGTGTGTGTGAGTGAGGGGGAGTGTGTGTGGGGCAGTGTGTGAGGGGGGAGTGTGTGAGGGGGGAGTGTGTGTGTGTGTGAGTGTGTGTGAGGGGGAGTGTGTGTGTGAGGGGGGAGTGTGTGTGTGAGGGGGAGTGTGTGTGTGAGGGGGAGTGTGTGAGTGGTGTGTGTGGGGAGTGTGTGTGTGAGGGGGAGAGTGTGGGGGGGAGTGGGGGGGAGGGAGTGTGTGTGTGTGAGGGGGGAGTGTGGGGGGAGTGGGGGGGGAGGGAGTGTGTGTGTGTGAGGGGGGAGTGTGGGGGGAGTGGGGGGGGAGGGAGTGTGTGTGTGTGAGGGGGGAGTGTGTGTGGGGGGAGTGGGGGGGAGGGGGGAGTGTGTGAGTGTGTGTGTGGGGCAGTGTGTGTGGCCGGGGGTTGGGGTCGGGGTTGTGGTTGGGGGTCGGGTCTCACCATTCGGGGCGCTGATGTCGCACAGGCGGCACCGGTACCCCCCGCGGGGCCGCCGCTCGGTGTCGGGGTCCATCTCGCGCCGCGTTCCGTTCGGTTCCGGTCGCGCCGCCACGAGCGGAAACGGCGGGAGTTTCAAAACCGCTCCGTCACCTCCCGAGACTTCCGGTCCGCCCGCTGCCCGCTTCCCCCCGGCCCCCAGGTCCGACCAGCCCACGGGGCCCGGACAAAGGTTCCGGCTCAGCCTTGGACTGTTTGACACACAGAGAGAGGGTTAGAGAGGGGGGAGGGGGAGGGGGTGAGGGGGGGGGGCAGGGCATGGAAGACACAGGAGAAGATGGGGGGAGAGGATAGGGGAGGGGGGGGGGGGTTTGGTGATGGGTTAAAGTGGTATTAACGATGCGGGAACGAAGGAGGGCGGTGGATTGGAGACGTTGACTCACTTTCCTCTCTCCATAGATGCTGCCCGACCTTTCTCGCTCCGCCTCTGCTCCGGGTTCTCGGGGCCCCCGCGGCGTCTACGCCTCTTGTGCCCTGTGCGCGAGCCCCGGCGAAGGCGCGGACCCCCAACCGACGCGAGGCGCGCGCGAGGCGTTTCGCGGGGACACCCACACTCCGCCGTCGGTCACTATCGGGAGTATCTTCGCTCGCGTCCGATGCCGGCGTCGGCCATCGGGTGGTCCAAAAAAAAAAAAACCGTCTCCTCTCGAACTGGACCTGGAGTTTACTGCGAAGGGGATAATAATCCCTCCCAAAAAAAACCAAAACAATAATAAAATTGGTCATTTTCAATCCACGACTGTTTGTGGGACATCGCTGTGCGCAATTGGCCGCCGCGTCCGCCCACAAATATACAGTCAATTCACTTTACAGTCTATTCCGTGAAGCGCTTTGGGACGTCGAGAAGACTTGAAAAGCGCTATATCAAATGCGAGGATTATTATTGTTGAGTGTAGTGACTGTGTTTCGGGTCGGGCCAGGAGGCTGGGACTCGTTCGAAAAAAAACAAGCTGATGCTACGACAGGAGGGCGGGACGGTGGCTACGAGATCAAATGAGCTGAAGGAGCTTCTTCATCCGAAGAAACTCTTGAGATGACTGTAAAAACAGCCTTTCTTTGTGCCTGACCTTTGGAACTTATGATGTGACTTAGAGTGCTATAATTTGCAAGTTTCTAAAGAAAAGTATCAGCACTTTCCTATCCACAGAGAACGGTGTTATCGTGGGGCAACGACTCTCTCCGTCTATCTCCCTTTGATGTGGAGGGTTTGGCTCCTGTCTGTTCGCACTTCAGCGGGTGCTTTAAACCCAACCCACCGACAAAAACACCACACCTCGTCTCAAACTGGACCGGATTTTACTGTTAAGTGCAACAGCCACTGCTTTCTTCGTACAACAAAGTTTCAGTGAGAGGATTAAAGGGCAATAAAGATTGCTATGAATACAGAGTAAGCGATAGCGCGGTCTTCGAGCAATCAGATTATGTTAATAACAGGATTCTGACATCTTCTAATCCACAATGTTGAGGTCAATCTGTGTGTTTTTCGTTTCCCCGCCTCCTGTCCTGAGACTCAGATGCCCAGCCAGCTCACTAAGGAGCTTTAAGACGTCCTCCCCATCTGAACTGCGCTGAGTCAATGTAAATTGTATTTCCGAGTGTGTTGCCTTCAGCACCATCACAAAATAGTTCAAACCCGCTCCTGCTCACAGGGCAGCACTTGTACTATGGTAAATCTACAAATGTGCTGCAAAGAAGCCTTTCACAACAATAATAGTCATAATCCTGATCACATCCTCGAGACTTCTCAAAGGGATTTTTACTGTGAAGTGACTGTGTTTTGTTGGAGAACCTGACAGCCTAATTGAGCACACCAGCGTCCCACGATCAACAATAAAGCGAATGAGCAATTTTATTGCAGCATTAAACTGTCTTATAAATGTGTTCCGTGGTCCCTCCTTCAACTATCCTTCCCGGCAACATGTTCCAGCCGTTAATTTCCTGATGTGCAAAGAAAACTTCTGGTGTCTGTCCTGAAATTACCCTTTACAAATCTAAACCTATTTGCTCCTGTTTTACTGTCTCATTAACTTAAAGTATAGTTTTGGTTATACCTTTTTTTTACTTTGAATTAGTTATGGTATCAATTGGCTAACAGCAATAAGCAATAAACAATAAGACCACCCAACTTAACTAAAACATTTTTAATAATTTACTTGACCGATCTGATCACATTTTACAAATTCACTTCTGATCACACAGGGTTAAACCACGGTCACAGCTGCACAACAACGCACATGTCCACAGCACTATTCGAGAAGTGAAGGGAATCGTCCTGGTCAACAATCCCCCTGATAAAATTGCTCATTCCCTTCATGGGCTGTTTATGGGACATTAATAATAATTTGGTCATTCAATCCACGAGTGTCTGTGGGGCACTGCTGTACGCAATTGGCAGCTGCGTTTCACCCACAAAATATGCAGTTAATTCACTCTCTGAAGTGCTTTGAGACGTCTCGAAGACGTGATTAGGAGCTATCTTCAAGTGCAAGGGTCTTTATAACAAATAGGATTATTGCTTTGCGCCCATTGGCTTTGTGTTGGTCTGTACAAGGTTTACAAATTGGATTAATGCGACTTGGTATAGTTACAGATGAAATCCACCAGTGGGCAGCAACTGATCGTTCTGCGGATTGGCAAGACACTTTACATGCACACAGAGAGACGGGCGTCTCAGAGCGCATTCCCAGTGCTGGATTACATAATTTAATGACATTTGTATAGCGCCTTTCACGCCGGGAAGACGTCCCAAGGTGCTGGGACGAGGCGGGGAAGGGAAAGATGACCTGAAGCACCGTCAAAGATGTACATTTGGAGGCCTGGCTTGGAATAGGAGAAGGAGGGGGACCTCTGGGATGGAGTTCCAGAGAGCTGGGAGCAGAAAGGCTGAAAGCCCACCAGCTGACGGTGGTGGTGTAGGGTGTGGGGTGGGGGGGGGGCGGGGGGTGGTGCGGTGTGAGGGGGCGCGGGGTTGGATGTGAGAGTGTGAGGGGTTGCAGGTCGGCAGCTTTTTTGCATCAACACTTCATGGTGAAGTGGTTAGGAAGACGTCAAAGATCCCCTGGGACTACTCAAAAAGAAAAGGGAGTTTCCCAGTGACCTCCCAACAACGCACCGATAAAATTGGTCGCTCACGTACGTCATAGCTCTTTGTGGGATATTTGCTGTGCGCAAGATGAGCTTCCACATTAGCCCACAGAAGAGTCACCACACTTTACAGTGTCTCCTGTGAAACGTTTTGAGGCGTCCTTCAGGTACAAAAGGTGCCAATAAGTGTAAGGATTATTATTAGTGTACAATATACATCTAACGGCATCTTTCTTGTACTGGAATACATTCTGCGTGCAATAACCGCAGGGTACTGAGCGTATTCTGTGCGTGACAACCATCTATGGAACTAGCGATCGATCACCGGATCGATTCGGGTGAAGACGGTCCTTAACCCATCTGATCTCATCTTGCCTGAACACCCACCACACTGTCCTCCCATCACGGTCTCAGCTTCCCGGCCTCCACCCAATTTCCTGGCAACTCTGTTCCACGCGTTAATCCCTCTCTGAGCGAAGAAATATTTCCCGGTGTCTGTCCTGAACTTACCCCTTTGCAAATTCTAAATCTATATCCTCTTGTTCTACTCTTATACTGAAGGTACTGTTCTGAGTTTCCTTTTTCAAAACCACTTAAAATGTTATACTTCTCTATCAGGAGCCCCTCGCAGTCATTTTTCTCTCGGGATGAAGAGCCCAAGCTTGTCTGATTGTGGCCCGTAGCTCATTCCTCTTAACACTGGGGATCATCCTCTCCTGAGCACTGCCTCTATATAATAATGATCCTTCATAATAATCCTCTCATTTGATACACCGCCTTATCACGTCTTCGAGACGTCTCAAAGCGCTCCACGGAATATACTGCGAAGCAAATTGACTGTATGATTTGCGGGCGAAACCTGGCAGCCAATTGCCCACAGCAGCGTCCCACAAACAGTTGTGGATTGAGCGACTTAATTTTTTTTATGTTTTATGTTTTTTGAAGGAGTTATTACGAGGGCTCTCACCACTGAGCGACAGGACTCCACAAACTTATGTTGGGGTGACCACGGTTAGTCTCAGTCCTGCTCCCAAATGTAGACCAATTATCCTGGGTGTTTTGTAGACACGTGTGGGTCGGTCCTAATCTGCCCGGTGTGAAAGCTGCTATACAAATGTAATCTTGTTGTTGTTGTAGTGCGATGAATTTCCAGCTCTCAGCAGTTCTCGGTCTCCTTACAAACAGGAAGACCGGTGGGGGTGGGTGACATTTGCTCCTGGGGTCTAATCTCACCAGCAATCACCGGCTCATCAAACGAGCTAATTTCGCTAAGAATTGAAAATAAAACACACACACACTCCCCAGCCTCCCACTCCCCATATGTACAGCCCCCGCCTCCACCTCCCACATCCTTCCCGCCACGTGCACACAACAGCCCACCCCCCACGCCCCCCCCCCCCACACACACACACAGATTGGTGCACAGTTGTGTAAGCACGTCTGCACACACACACACACACACACACACTGCCTCTTATGATCACAGCGAATGGGGAAAGGTGAGCGCATCAGGACGGCTGAGGGCTGGAGCGAGAAGGGGGCAAGAGACAGAGAGGCTAGCGAGAGTGAGAAAATAGAAAGAGAGAGCGAGAGAGAGAGCGAGAGTGGTGGTGGGGGAGGCAAGAGAAAGGAAAACAGAGAGGCGGAGAGGGAGAAGGGAAAGACGGAAAGAACAGACTAAAGGAAAGAAGGAAGAGAGTCGCTTGGAAGGTGAGAAAGAAAAGAGAAGAGAGAGGAACGAGAGAGAGAGAGAGAGAGAGAGGGGGGGGAAGAGAGAGAGAGATGGAACAGATGTTAGAAGGGATGAGCAACGTTCTCAGCTTCTGATGCAAAGCTGATAACAGCACAGCCCGGCCTGGCTCATCAGCAGGACCTGGAACGTCAGACCAGTCACTGGGGACAGGGAAGTCACCCCACTCAGCTCCTGTTAACGCAGCAAGCCAAAGCCCTGACGGGTAGGGTGGTGCTGGCTAGACAAGCAGCAGGAAGCTTGCCAGACAGTGCTCTAGATGGTTTTAGCTGGTTAGACTTCAGCAGGACCTAACTCTACATTGTGGGGTCACGAAGCCTTGCCTGATCCTTGCGATCCTGCGCCCACTACCCGTGGGCTCCCTCCTGCTCCACGTCTCCATCGGCGGTCAGGCCTTCAGCCTCTCTGCCCCCACCCTATGGAACTCCGTCCCACATTCCCTTCGCCTCGCTCCCTCCCCTGCCTCCTTCAAGGAGCGTCTCAAAAATCCTCCTCTTCGACATAGCCTTCAGCCGCCGTCCCTGACCTCCCCGATCCCAACGTGAAAGGCGCTATACAAATGTAATCCTGCTGTTGTCGTTGTTGTTGCCGTTGTGCTACTCTCTGTACTCTCTGGAATGAGTTCATCATTCCAGAGAGAGAGAGAGAGAGAGTGTGGCATTCCATTCCATTCCAAACACAGGGAAATATCCACGTTTAGATGATGTATATCCATGGCCTTGGCTGAGATAAACAAACAGGATGATGGGGTTTCTGCAGACAACTCAGCTGGTGGACCCCCCCCCCCCCCCCCAAAAAAAAAAATCCAGTTCCTCCGCTGGGAAATCAACAACACCGACTTTCCAATCGAAGTTTCGAAAAGTGATCAGATCGGGAATGTTCCGAGAACTTCCCCCACAAAGCACACAAGTCAACTCGCTTCACAGTACATTCTTGTGAAACGCGTCGAGACATCTCGACGACTTTATGAGGTGCTGTATCGAATGCAAGAATTATTATTATTATTATTATTCTTATTATTATTTGATCGTCGAGAAGCTGCCCCTCACCTCCGCTGTCCAGGACGAAATAAATCACTTGTATTTTTGTGGGAGGCACTCGGCAGCCAATCAGACATATAATATAAGAATAATATTTGCATTTGATTCTTACTTACTGCGAGGTAAACAGAGGCGTGTGGAGTAAGGAAACTTGCCCAAGGTTTCGCCCCCTGCCCGGGAATCGAACCCGGGTCCTCTCGCCCGCGGGGCGAGTGCTCTTAACCACTGAGCTACAGGACTCTGTAATAAACCAAAGGCCTGGTAAACCGTTGGAGCAGGCCGGTTGGGCTGAATGGCCTCCCGCTGTTCCTGAGTCGCTGTCGAAAGAAGGGCGGATAAAACATCACCCAAACGCGGTTCACTTTCAAACCTTTATTGTCAGAAAAGGACACACCTTTAAGCTTAAAACGAGAGACTTGGAACATGTTCGCAGGTGACTCTGTTACATTGCTTGCACTGCAACTGTTACAACAACAACAACAACAAGATTGCATTTATAGAGCGCCTTTCACATCGGGATACTACATCCTCTACTCAGGGTAGCGCCTCAGAGCGCTTAACAGTGATGGAGCCTGACTCCGAGCCAGGGGAGGAGAGTGGGGGGGGGGGGGGGTGGGGGGGCGGGGGGTGGGGGGAGGTAGCCGTGAGCACGGTCGAAGAGGAAGGTTCTCAGACTGGCGTAGGGGCTGAAAGCGCGACCTCCGATGGTGGGGCAGAGGGTGCGAGGGGCCGGCAGGAGGGCTGTGCCTCGCCAGGGCACCCAGCGGGAGACATTCACGGGCAGATCAACGACCTCTCGTCCCTGGTATTGGCGGACGTCAGTCAGTTCCTGAAATGGCAGCGTAGGGAGTCTAAAGTGCAGGTTCAGATGGATGGGGTATTACATGGGATATTCACCAGCAGCGACTCAGGACTTTATCAGACCCCGGACATAAATCCTTGACTGTTCGGCGCCTTGGGACGTCCTCCTGACATGAATGAAAGACGGTATACAAATGCAATGTGTTGTTGTTGTTGTTGTGGACACCTGCTCCGAACCCCCCCCTCACATCCCCCATCGCCCCCCACCCCACTGCCACCCCTCAAACCTCGGTCCACCGTCTCAACAATTTATATTCTGTCACCATGTTACAAATATTCCATTAGCAGTGCGAGAAAACCATTCACAAACTCTTCCTTTATACTATATCTACAGATTTATACACTTACACACTTGTGCACTTGTACACTTACACACTTGTACACACACACCTCGGTTTAAGACTACATCGAGACAAGAACCTCGACAGCAACAGTCCATTTTAATTTCATCAAAACATTTGTCAAGGGTGCGCGCATGTGTGTGTAATTGTCAGGGACAGCGAGTGTTGATGGGCAGGGTCATATATAGCCCCCAGAGTGAAGGGTGTGATGTAAATGCAAGCTGTTGTTGTTGTATAACAGTCCTTATCCATCCTCTGTTTGTGTAATTACCGGCAGGTCATCCCTGGACAGGGAGCGCGAGTGCCCAGGAACGCTGAGGGCTGTTAATAACGAGGTCCAGGATCAGTGACTGGGCTCACGTTGCACCTGTTTGCCTTTTATCTCCGTTGCTGCCTGAGTTCAGCGCTGAGGTGTGGTGAGCTGCAGAGAAACCTGCAAGCGGAGGTCTGTCAGTTGCTCCTTTGGGGTGTGAACGAGGTTCTAAGTAACGTTTGATCGTGAGATACAGCGAGCGGCAAACCTCACACCTTACTCGCCCCGGACAGTTTTCGGTCATAAAGGATTTTATTCGATTAAAAACATTTATTTTGAATAGAGAATGACCTCCTCACCATCTCCGTTTCCCCCAAACACACAATCACCGGTCTCAGACCGGGGTGTTGGGACCTACTGGAAGGTTTGCGAGGGAGAATAGACCAGGGCTTAGGTGTTGTACTCCGCCCATCAACACTACCTGTGTGAGGGATACACACACACACACACATACTTACACAGACACACAAAGACTTACTCTCACACTCACACACACGCACACATACAGACTCACTCTCACACTCAAGACACTCACACAAACACACACACACACACACAGACACACACCCACAGACGCACTCTCGCACTCAGACGCAACTCGCAGACACACAACCACACAGACAAACACGCGCGCGGGCACGTACTCGCGCGCACTCACACTCACACAGAGAATAAAAACACCCTCCAAATTACCCCCACCCCCGGGTTTCAATGTCAGTCACTTTCTGTTCTGTGATTTCTCACGAGCGTCTGAGAGAAACCTATTCTGGGAAACGGAATCCTTCGGAACGCCGGCCTTATGGCGGCAAAGCAAAGCAACACGAGTGCAATCCCAGATCCGGGGTGGGGGGGGGGTGGGGTGGGGGGTGGGGGGGGGGGCATTCCCAGATGCCGACATTTCTGGCTTAGACGTTCCCAGATCTCAGGATCTGAACCAACACAAAGCGGAATTACTAAAATGAGAAACGATTAATTAAAGAGTGCAAAGATTTTAACTTGAATTTTTAAAAGCTTATTCTCTCAGCGCCTCGTTCGCTCGCTCTCTCTCGCTCTCTCTCGCTCTCGCTCTCTCTATCTCTCTCCGTCTTTGTCTCTCTCGCTCTCGCTCTCCGTCTGTCTGACTCTCTCTCCCTGATTAGCTTTAAATCTCAGCCGATTTCTTACATTCAAAAGAGACGCCAGCAGCCAAACTGCCCAGATCATATCTTCCAGAGGCAAGAAGCCTCTTGCATTTCACAGGATATACTACAAAGTGTAGTGACTGTGTATTTTGTAGGAAACACTAGTATTATTCTTATTCTTATTAACGCGGCAGCCAATTTGCACACAGCAATGTCTGACAAACGGCCGCGAAATGAATGAACAATAATAATAATAATAATAATATTCCTTGCATTTGATATAGCGCTTTTCACGTCGGGAGGACGTCCCAAAGCGCTTCACAGAACGCACTGTAAAGTGAATTGACTGTATATTTGTGGGCGAACGCGGCAGCCAATTTGCACACAGCAATGTCTGACAAACGGCCGCGAAATGAATGAACAATTCTATTTGGGGGGGAATTGTTGGCCAAAACACCAGGAGAAACTCCTCTTTTGGGAACTGGCAGATGAATCGGCACCTCTGACAGCGCAGTGCTCCCCCAGCACCGCACTGGAGTTGTCAGCCGAGATATGAACTCAAGTCCTCAAGCCAGGCTTGAACCCACAACCTTTCTGACCCGGAGGCCAGTGTCAGGCGGAGTAAAGTCTCCGACGCACATATGGCTGTGAGAGCAGAACTGGTGCGGGTTTTGTGAGTTGGTTTGTTGTGATCGAAGGTTGGGGAGAGAGAGTGTTGTGCGGTCAGTGGGCGGTGAGTGTGGAGGGTGCGTGAGTGAGTGAGTGAGTGAGTGAGTGAGTGAGTGAGTGCGTGAGTGAGTGAGTGAGTGAGTGAGTGAGTGAGTGAGTGAGTGAGTGAGTGAGTGAGCGAGGGAGGGAGGGAGGGAGGGAGCGAGCGAGCGAGTGAATGAGTGAATGAGACGAGGGTTAAAAGCAGGGGAATAAAAAAAAGGCAGAATCAGTCTTGTTGCACTTCCCTCAGCGAACGAGGCTCTGCCCCAAAGTCCAAAGGTTCAGTGTCTGCGCTGCGAGGCTGTTGAAGACAGACGGCTGATGAAACCTTGTGTGTAAAGTGACTGTGTGGTCAGGGCGAGTAGGTGGTGGTGCTGTCTGTGTCGGTAGCGATGGAGCCTCGCTTGCTGGAGAGACTGGACTTGACGTTGATGTAAGCCAGAAGCCTCTGTGAGCTGAGGCAGCCCATCCCCTTGAGCAGCCTGAGGAGGTCCTTGCGGAACTTGACCCCGATGAAGGCATAGAGGAAGGGGTTCAGGCAGCAGCGCACGTAGGCCAAACTCTTGGTCACATCCAGGGCCATGTTCAGCCGCTTGTTGACGTCGCAGTTGGTGATGTTGGCTTTGATGCTGCTGATGGTGTCCAGGAGCATGACGCTGTTGTAGGGAAGCTGGAAGAGTATGAAGACCACCACCACCGAAAGATGACCTTGATGGCTTTGTTCTTCTCGAAGCTCCTGGAGATCAGCAGGGTCTTGACAATGACGGAGTAGCAGAAGATCATGACCAGGAAGGGGATGAAGAAGCCCATGGCCAACTGGGCACTCGTGGTGAACATCATGGTGTTGTTGTTGGACCTCAGCTTACAAACCAAGATGCCTCCCCTCTGTATCTCTTCGCTGTAGAGCAGCTCGGGCATAGACAGGATGAAGGCCAAGATCCAGACGCCGCCGGAGATGATCTTGCTGTAATAGACGGCTCTGGAACGGTGGCGGTGGGCGGAGGCGGCCCGGACAATGGAGAAGTACCTGTCGATGCTGATGCACATGAGCAGTAACATGCCGCTGAAGAAGCTCAACTTGTACAGCACGCACACAGTCCTGCACATGGGCTGGCCGAAGATCCACTGCTTGACCACGGACACGGCCCAGAAGGGGAGAGTGAAGAGGAAGAGGAGGTCCGCTAGTGCCAGGTTCAACAGGTAGATATCGGTCATGGTCTTGAGCCGCTTGAAGTAGATGAAGGTGAGGACCACCAGCCCATTCCCCAGGACGCCCAGCACGCAGATCACCGCGTACATGACGGGCAAGAAGCTCTCCCGGAAAGACCTCACCTCCTGCATCTCACACTGCGAGACAAAGTCACGGTAGTCCACATTCGGGTCAAACGTTCCCACGTCGTTGTAATCCTCGGTGGTGAACTCGAACCCCAGTAGCTCCGTCATGGTCACGTCGGAGGCCTGAGGACGAAGGAGTCGAGAGCTCGGTCACCGCGCGTGGTCTCACAAGCAATGGCAGGTCACAGAGCAGAGGAGAAGCGAATTCACGCGGAATTTAGATAAAAAACGTAGAAACAGGAGGAGGCCATTCAGCCCCTCCACCATTCTATAAGGTCATGGCTGATCTAATACCTCAAGTCCAATTACCCGCCCTTGCCCCGTATCCCTTAATACCCCGACCCAACAAATATCTCTCCACCTCAGTCTCGAAGACGTGAATGGATCCAACGTCCATTGAATAACTTTTGGTCACTTATTAGTCAACGTTTCTCACTTCCCTTTCTTAAACACTCCTCAACGTTCTCAGACACCTCAGTAATCTGAGGCACATCTTTCTCCTTCTCTCAGTCGCGCTCTCCTTTTACCTTCCTTCCTCGATACCTGGGCACAGCTGTAGCTATCCTGACATAGGGGCCCTGATCAAAGTGTTTAAGGTTAGGAATTAATTCAATGAGGTGGACTTTAATAGGCTGTTTCCACTTGCAAGAAACATTTAAGAAACTCGATGCGGACACAAGGGATAAGGGAATGGCGGCGTATAGGAGAGGGGATTAGGAAGGGTGGGGACTAGTTTGGGGTATAAACCCCGACATTGGATCGGTTGGGTCGAATGTCCTGATCTATGCTCTATCACACCAGGTAATTGTAATTGTAGATAAGGGATAGTGGTTCATTGAGAAGGAATAGGGTTTTATTGATAAGGGTTATCAGGATTAATCAAGATTATTGTACAGGCTCAGTCTGGTCTGAAAAGGCGGGGTGGGGGGGTAAAATGAAGACCCCCCACCCCGCTCAGGTCCTAAATCCCTGACTGTTCAGCGCCTCGGGATGTCCTCCTGACGTGGAGGGCGTTTTGCAAACGGGATTTTTGTATTGGATGAGAGAGGAGATGTCATGCGTGAACCTCAAGGTCCACCTGAGGGACGACACCCCCGACAGCCCGGTGCTTCCCACCCCAGCAACCTGCGACTGCGCTGCGCTGCGCTGTCAGCCTAGTGAGTCCAAACGGGTTTAAAAAAAAAACCTTCTGACTCGAGAGTCGAGAGCCAGGCTGAGAGAACGTGCAGCAATTGAGAGCCCAACATGCCTGGAAGCACGAGGAGGGGGGGGGGTGTCGGGGGAGAGAGGAGGGGGAGAGGAGAGGACAAGAGCAGAGAGAGCACACTTTAAGATATTCTCATGAAACCAGCAGCTGCTCAGACAGACTCTCGCTTTCAATCTGACGGGCGCAGAGTGTGAGTGATCTCAGGGATTGGTTTCTATTAGACACTTAGTCGAGTTTCTGGGGGGGGAGAGGCGGAGTGGAGGGAAAGGGGGCTTTTCGTCTTCTCTCTATCTGAGGTTCTGTGAGAGAGACTTTCCACCCACAAAGTGTGAGCGGGGACTGAACACAATGAAACAGCTTAAAATATGCAATCTCCTGTTACAATCGCCTTATTACAGCACAATGAGCAATATTTCAACTGTTTTCTCCTCCCCCCCCCCCCCCCACACACACAACTGGTCTAATCGCTTGGACTGTGTTTGACGGCAGCCCTGAGGTGTAGTGACCGTGCGTCTGTCGAGCGACGCAGCGTCCGATTTGTGCGTGTCCCACACGCAGCCGCGAAGTCGAACACGTTCGTGTCGTCTGGTGGGACGCGCACATAATGTTATAATAATAATAATAATAATAATCCTTGCATTTGATATAGCGCTTTTCACGTCGGGAGGACGTCCCAAAGCGCTTCACAGAACACACTGTAAAGTGAATTGACTGTATATTTGTGGGCGAACGCGGCAGCCAATTGCGCACAGCAATGTCCCACAAATAGTCATAGATTGAAAATGACCAATTTATTATTGTTTTTGGTTTTTTGGAGGGATTATTATTATTAATGTTGCATGGTTTTAGAATATTAGAGGTTACGCGAAGGTACAGGTTCTGAGCGCGAACAGCGATAGATAATCTTTAACGCGGCAAACATTTAAGACAATGACAAGATCGAATTAAAGAGGAGGTTGCAAGTTCTTTACAGAGAAGCTGCTTGAAAGGTGGAATTCTACTGACGATCAGGCAGCGATCGATCCTTTTTTTTTTAAAACAGGATTAAAGTAGATCCTTCTTGAAAGGATTAAAAAAGTTTGTGGGTTCAAAAAGTCCCGCATTGAGACTTTGTCGAGGGCTGAAACTCCAGCACCGTCGCTGCGCTGTTGGAGGTGCCATCGTTCAGAGGTGTTAAACCAGACTTCCGCCCGAGTCTGTTCAGATGGACGTTAAAGAGGCCCAAGAGGCTACTCGAAAAGAGAAGGGAGTTTCTTCCGGTGTCCCGGATTAATCCCAAATAAAATCAGTCCCGCACTTTATTGCTGTTTGTGGGAGGCTGAATGTGTGCGAGTTGACTGCTGCATTCGCCCACAAATACACATACAAATGCTTAACTCTGAAATGGTGCGAAGGCTTCGAATCTTCCTCAACTAAGCCTTCAAGCAGAACCTTCCATTTCTTTCTCCCTCATGTACCCATCTATCGTTCCCTTAAACACATCTATGCTATTTGACTCAACAACCCCTTGTGGTAGCGTGTTCCACCTCCCCCCTACTCTTCTTCTAACTTCCCTATTTGACCTACTTGTGACTGATTTATATCGATGGCCCCTGGTGTTGGTCTACCCCACGATTGGAAACATCTTCCCTTATCAAAGCCTTCCTCATTTTAACGATCTCCATCAGCTCACCCCTCACCCTCCTGTTTTCAAGAGAAAAGAGTCCCAGCCTGTTCAGCCTTTCCAGTTGTGAGGGGAGCGAGGTGGAGAGTGGGGTTAGATCAGCCACGCGTGGCCAATGATGGGCCAAGCGCAGATTCTAATGTTCTCTCGTTTCACCGTCCAGCACTGGAGTGAGTTTCACTCAAAAGGATAAGACTAACTGCGCCGAGACAGAGGCAACCAAATCACGGCACGACCCAAAAATAGAAGGGGGTTTCTCCCGGCGTTGCAGCCAACAATCCGCCAGATAAAATTGGTCACTCGTTTCGCCGCTATTTATGGGGCCCGTGTTGTGTGCCAAATGGCTGTCGCGTTGACCTACAAGACACACGGTGACAAAATACTCTTTGAAGCGGATTCAGGACCTGAAGCATTTCGAGACTTCCTGCCGATGCGGAAGGCACCGTCTCTAATGTGAGGATTGTCATTATTATAAATAAATAAAGCATTTCCTTCTGAATCGCATCAGAGGGTCTGCAATTAACACTCTTGTGTATCAGAACGACAAATGAAGGCAATGATAATAATCCTTGAATTTTGATGGAGCGCCTTATTACGTTGTCAAAACCGTCTTAAAGCCCTTCACAGAACTGTAGAGTGCAGTGACTGTGCATTTGCAGGTGAAAGCGGCAGCTAATTTGCACAATGTAGTGTCCCAAACAGCTAATTTTATCGGGGTGAGGAGGGAGAGGGGGGAGGATTGTTGGCCAGGATTTCAGGGAGAGAGGGAAACTCCAGTGCCTTTTTGAGCTGCGCTGTGGGATCTTTAAAGTCCACCTGAGCAGACAGATAAAGCTTATGTACCTTCAGTAAGCGTGAGCTGTATGTACGCATTCACCGCTTGATGCACAGGTATATCAAGCTCTGGTAATGTTTGCTGGGGAGGCGTTGAACTTCCGGTGTGATAAATAGCTTAAAAGATTAAATTGCGAATCGAGTTGCGAAGATTGCAAAAGCCCCACCACTTGGGTTTGCGTTGAGCTTGATTTGGCTGCGTCTCTCAGCGCGGCTACTTTCGTTCTTTGGAGTGAAACCATCTCCAGCAAGAATTATAATTCGAGGACGTCAGCGCTCTTCGCAATATTTTACTGGAAAGTTGAGTCACTGTGCGTTTGTAGGTGAATTCTGCAAACGATTTGTGGCACAACAATGTCGTACGAAAACAACTATAAAGTCAATGACTCATTTTTAGCTGGAAGACGGTTGGCCAGAATACCAGGAGAAACTCCCTTTTTTTTTTTTTACGAACGGTAAAATGGAATCCTTGATGGCCACCTGAACAGCCAGACAGCACCTCGATTTAGTGTCTCGTCTACAGCACCTCCGATAACACGGCGCTACCCCCCAGCACAGCACAGCTATCTCGCACCTTTCACGTCAGGAGGATGTCTCAAAGTGTTCAGGAGAGCCTCGGTCTGGTCAACATTCAACTGAAGGAAGTTAGACTTAATAATAATAACAATAATAATCCTTGCATTCGATATAGCGCTTTTCACGGCTTCTCGACGTCTCAAAGCGCTTCACAGAACACGTTGTAAAGTGAATTGGCCGTATATTTGTGGGCGAATGTCTGGGACTTAAATGTCTGACGAGCAATCGGTCAGTATAGCAGCGGTCCTAGAATTGAGGGGGGAGGCAGAGAGATAGAGTTAGGGAACTGAGGTAAACTAAAAGCTCTCCTGTTTCCAAAAACGAGCTGTGCAGAAGTAGTAAAAGTTTTGGTGAAGAGGGAGGAAACAGATGCGGTTTCTGTTTTGGGTCACGTCTGATTCTCTGTATTAGAATAAATATTCATCTGATTAAGACTTTTACCTCTAGGTTCACGACGACACGAATTAAAGAGGAAGACATGGACAGGAACCCCAGATACAAGTCGAGAGACACAGCTTAAGAAAAGGTACAGAAAGGCTGGATCTCATTTCAAGCACAACATCAGTGACAAGGAATGAATTTGAGGTTCTGTCCTGAGAAAACATAATATCATTTACAACTGATGTCTCAGCTACTGATAAAATCAATACTAAAATAATCCTCAGGTTTGACATAGCGACTTTGCCATCAGACGGATGCCTCAAAGCATTTCATAGGATCCACTGCAAATCGCAGTGACCGAGTATCTTGTGGGTGAATGCAGGAGATAACTTGCACGCAGCAATTGTCCCACAAACAGCCACAAAGTGAATCACCCATTTTACTTGCAGCATTGCTGGCCAG